TTTTGTTTGTTTTTCTGATTTTTTATTTGTTTGTTTTTTGAGACCAAGTCTTGCGCCATTGCCCAGGCTGGAATACAACGGCATGATCTCGCCTCACTACAACCTCCGCCTCCCGGGTTCAGGTGATTCTTGTGCCTCAGCCTCGTGAGTAGCTGGGATTACAGGCACCCGCCACCACACCCGGATAATTTTTTTTTATTTTTACTAGAGACGGGGTTTCACCATATTGGCCAGGCTGGTCTCAAACTCCTGACCTCACGTGATCTTCCCACCTTGACCTCCTAAAGTGCTGGGATTACAAACCTGAGCCACTCATTTCACTTCGAAACCCAGCCACCTCCCTCCCGCAGGCTGGAGTGCTCTCTTTCTGTTATTCATTGTTTTATTCAATCACCGATTATGCATCAGACACTCTGTGTGCCAGGCATTGCTCGGGGCTGGGGATTATGTCAGGATAAGACAGTCTTCTCTTGTGGAAGTTACATTCCAGCAGGGAAGACAGACAATAAACAAATAAATGACTAAATATTTCATAGGGCTGTAAAGAGTAAGGGCCCAAAACAATCAAGTAGGGGGTGGGGCCAGAGAGGGAAGAGGCCATTGTAGCTGCAGCGATCAGGAAGGGATGGGCTTTCTGAGGAGGGAGGTCTGAGCTTGAGTTAAGGAGAGAAGAGGCCACCTGGCCATGGGGAGAAGAGCGTGGGGTAGGAGCTGGAGACAGGCGGGAGCGCAGACCCCATCACCCAGGGTGGTGTTTCTCAACCTGCAGTTATCATTACCCCGCCATGAAATTTTAATTCCAGAGGTACCCTGGGTGTCTACTGCTATTCTTAGTCTATATACACAGTGAAAAGAGTAAGATGCTTTGTCCTGCAAGAATAAATCCTTGGGGGCAGCATTGTCCCTGTTAGGGATGCATGATATAGGGCCCTATGGTCAATTTAAAAATTGGGGCTGGGTGTGGTGGCTCGTGCCTGTAATCCCAACACTTTGGGAGGTCGAGGCAGGTGGACTGCCTGAGGTCAGGAGGTTGAGACCAGCCTGGCCAACACGGTGAAACCCTGTCTCTACTAAAAATACAAAAATTAGCTGGGCATGGTGGAGGATGCCTGTAATCCCAGCCACTCAGGAGGCTGAGGCAGGAGAATCGCTTGAACCCGGGGGGCGGAGGTTGCGGTGAGACGAGATCACACCACTGCACTCCAGCCTGGGAGACAGAGCGAGACTCCATGACAAAAAGAAAAAGAAAAGGAATTGGTGTATGCCAGTGCCTATTTGGTCTAAAAGTAGTTCAAGACAGCTCCCTCTACTGACTGCCCTTACCAGGCCTCCACTTGGGTGTCTCATAGAGGTCTCAAGCTTAGAGTGTCTGGAGCTGAGCTTTAGGCAGAAGCTGTGTGCACTTAAGCTCTTCCTAAGCCTGCTCCTCATCCTCAGCCTGCTGTTCCGCAGCCACAGCAGCTTCTCACTCAGGCCAAGGAAACTTGGCTCCATTCTTGGCTCTCCTTTCTCTCAAACACTTCTAGCCCCGTTCTCTGCTGCCATGCTGGCCAGGTGCCCATCTTCACTCACCTGGTCCCCTGTAGCAGCCTCCCTCCTGGCATCCTCACTTGGGCGCTTGTGCCCTGGAGCCTGCAGGACAGTAGGTGCCCCCTGAATGAGGAAGAGAAAGAGGAGGTGGGAGAGTGTGCTGTGGGTTGTCCCCATGGGCTCTGGGAACCAGGGGGAGGAAGAGGAACCGTACCTTCTACCAAGGCTCCTGCCCCGGCCAGCATCGTCAGTGGGGATACGGATGACACGCATGTAGGGGGTGCAGACACCAACTCCTGGTGGGGCCTCCTCATCCGTCCACTCCTGCCCCGCCTGCCTGATTTCTTTTTAAGACCTGCTGGGTCCCTGTCCAGGGCTGCAGAGACCACTGACACATGGAATGGGGGAGAGGCAGCCCGAGCACAGCCCTGCTTCTGCACCACGTTGGGTTCATCCTTCAGCCCGCAGCTCGAGCCCGGCTTCCTCGGGGCCGTGCTTGGCCTCCCTGGTCTCCCACCCTCCCCTCAAGGCCTCTGGGATGTTCTCGAGAGTTCACCCCGGGCATAATCAGATGCTCCTGCAAGTCCTTGGCTGCCGTCTGCCTCACTCAACAGGCTGCAAGCCTCACATGGACGGGCCTCCAGCTGTGTTGCCCAGCCTAGCGGCTGCCAGACAAAAAAACTTTGTAAACAATGTGGGAAAGCTTTGTAAATACCATGGCACCCAGGTGGTGGAGGCCAAAGGAATAAACTTTGAACCTGGTCTGGGGCAGCCTCAGCAAAGGAGCAGGGAGGTTGTGATGGAAGGACACACTCCTCCGTCCTGGTGATGACTCGGGGCTTGTGGACAGGTGGTAGGAAAATGCCTCAGAACTGTGATGAGCACAGCCAGGCTGCTCCTGGGAGCCATTCTTTAGGCCTCTTATCTTGGTGGCCTTGGGAGAGGGAGATGCCAGGCTTGCTCATGGCCAGAGCACACAGAGTGCCTTCCCCAGTGCTGGCCCTGGCATTCCAGGGGTGTGGCTGGAGCCAGATGTGGCTGGTGAGACGCTGCATCTGGGGCCTCTGGGGCCCGGCGAGTAACGAAGATTCTCCTGCTTTCTCTTCCAAGAGCTTCACTGGGAGCGTTGCCATAGGAACAAGGCCCCTGGGAGGGGCGAGGCATTTCCCTTTTGCTCTCCCTGATCCTCTGCATCCCAGCTCCCCTGTTTCCGTCCTCCCCGTCTTCTCAGTGCTGGTGCTGCCGTGGGGCCTGGGGGACACGCAGGTGTTTCCAGCACTTGACAACGCAGTAGCCTGTGCTGTGTGAACCCTCCACAGCCCCTCATTCAGGCCCCTGGCCCTGTCTCTCAAGGGGTTCTCTTGTCTCTGTATCTTCCTTCAGACCAGCTCCAGGCTGGTCCCGTCGCCCTGACTTCAGCAAGACCAGGGCTGATGCCCTGACCAGTGAAAGCCGTGGTGCTATTTATGGTGAGGATCGGGAGGCAGGGAGCTCTTGGGTGAGGCTGGGAAAGCGGATGAAAGACTGGCTGGGAAGTGACTCGTGTCCTTTGTTTGTGGCTACGCCAGACAGCTTTCTTTTCTCCATGCAGCCTGCCCGCCCTTTCATGCATCCCTGCTTGTCCCCACACTGTCCTGTCCTGCTCCCCGCAACCCAGTGCCCTTTCCCCTCCCTTCTACCTGGTGAGTGACTTTGTATTTCAGAACCATCTCGAATGGAACGCCTTCTGGAGACCCCCTTCTCCCCACCCCTCCAAAGGGAGTGATTTTCTCCTTGTTCCACAGCCACGTGCGTTGTTCACAGCACTGTCGTGTCTTGCGGTCATTTCTTTGAGTTTCTGCAGGGTGCCAGGCACAGGGCTGGGCTCTCAATTTTACAGGCATAAAGAAGACCTGCTTCCTGTCCCAAGGAACTCACGGTCTAATGTTGGACACAAGTATGCCATGCAGTGAGGGCCTTTGGGAATGAACATCTCTGGAGAGGCTTCATTGAAAAGGTGGCCCTGTAGTGGCCTTGATGTTGAGTAGGGTTATTTATTTATTTTATTTTATTTGAGATGGAGTCTCACTCTGTCACCTAGGCTGGAGTGCGATGGCACGATCTCGGCTCACTGGAACCTTCACCTCCTGGGTTCAAGCGATTCTTCCGCCCCAGCCTCCCCAGTAGCTGGGATTACAGGCACCCCATCGTGCCTGGCTAATTTTTGTATTTTTGTAGAGATGGGGTTTCACCATGTTGGCCAGGCTGGTCTTGAACTCCTGACCTCAGGTGATCTGCCCACCTCAGCCTCCCAAACTGCTGGGGTTACAGGCGTGAGGCGCTGTGCCCAGCCGAGGTTGAGTAGGGTTTTAACAGGGTCCCATGCAGAAGCTCCTTGGGGACAGGGATGTTATCTCTCGTGTCGCACAGCTTGCACAGCACCAAGCGTAGGGTAAATGTCTAGTATCTGGTCAGCAGGTGGATGGATACAGTTCTGCCAAGAAAGCCTTTGTGAAGGAGCTGGGGTTTGAGGGATCTTTGAAGGAGGCAAAGGAAGGGGCTTCAGGGTCAGAGAGAAATGAACATGAAATGAGGAAAAATGGCCAGAGCAGTGAGGAGCATCCCAGAGGGAGCAAGAGGGTTGGATGGAATTGAGGGGTTTGGAGAATCCGGCCTGATCTGGAATAGAGTTCTGAGAAGGCTTAGGCACAGAATCCCAGCACATAGTAGGTCATTGTGGACCTGAGCAGCAGGACGCAGTCATCTTCACCAGGTGCAGACAGGAGCACCCGTGCTGTTCACCCACCGGAGCACTGCCTTCAGCGGGTGGCATCTGGACCAGGGCACTGAGGTGAGGGAGAAGGGAACGGCATCTTGGGGTTGTCCAGGGTAAGGTCTGAGAAGCCACTGCAGGTGGGAGATGCTGCTTGCTGGAGTTGGCAATGGCGGTGGAAAACAGCCCGCAGAGCTGACTGTGCAGTCCACTGGTAAACATGCCCAGCCCCTCTAAGGAGGATGTGAAAAGTAAATTCATAATGAATGAGTCTTTTGAGTTTCTATCCAGCTTCAGTCTTTATCACAAGAAAGGTCATCTTCAAGGTCTTTCAAGAAAGACCCCCGAGATGGGCCTCTGTCCCATGTGCCAGGCAGGGGCGTTTGTATGTTACCTGTGGGGAAGTACACTGTCTTGCTGGTGGGTACGCGTAGCCAACCCGGCAACATCTGTGAACCCAACTGGCAAAGGGAGAGGAACGTGGTAGTCTCTTTTTCTTTGCAATCAGCAAAATTTCCGGAGTGCCTCCAGCTTGCCAGGCTCTGCCCAGGGGCCGTCACGTACCCGTGGTGATGGCGTTCCTCACCACCACCGCAACAGGCAGTTGTCAGCGCTCCTTTGCAGCTGAGATCACCAAGGCTCCGGAAAGAGGGACTTCCCTAAGGCCCCCAGTGGGCAAGTGGGGCCACATTGCAAACTCCACTGTCTGTTGTTCCAGAAAACTCCACAGCCAGCGTGAGCGAGGCAGAGAGAAAGGCACAAGTGTACTACCGTGCGTGCATGAACGAGACCACGATCGAGGAGCTCAGGGCCAAACCTCTAATGGAGCTGATTGAGAGGGTGAGTGCCTCGGGCAGACTCTCTTCCCAGCCCCGCCCACGTCACGTGCCTGCCCCCTGGCTTCCATTACAGCCCTCTGGTACCACTGAGCTACGGCACACACCTCTAGCTGGTAGCACGGAGAGAGAGTGAGAGAGAGCGTGTGTGAGTGTGAGCGCATTGCATAGCTGCATGGGTGGGATGTCTGCACATGTGTTTGTGTGAGGGTGTGTGTCAGCATTTGCTGTGGATGTTTGTCATCTGTCTGTGTGTCTCTGTGCATCTGTGTGTGGGACAGGGGCCATGATTAGAGGGAAAATATTCCTCCACGTGGCTGCTGCTTTTTCTCAGGAGTTGTTTGTGTGTGTGGAGGGGTGTGCGCCTATTCCAGAAAGACCCACAGAGAGTCTGGCCCAGAATCAGAGCCCTCCGTGTAAGGAGGGACCAGGCCACGCTCCTATACCTGCTTACTCCTGAGTGGGGGGAAAACATCTTTCTTCCTGGGCACCTGCTAATGGGTCTTGAGCAGATTCCGAGGCTTCCTGGTGCAGACAGAAGGTGTCTGTGGATGTTTTCTGCCTGCCTCATGCCCCAGGGATGGCCCTGCCTCTTAGCTTGGCTCTGGGAAAGCATTGTGGCAGGGTTGGTGGCTGCACTTGCTGGGGACTGTGCTAGCCCCTCCTCTCTGGACAAGTTTCATGTGCCAAACCAGGAAAGACCGGGGAGATTTTTTAAAATCCAACTTTCTTGGGAGGCTGAGGCAGAAGGACCACTTGAAGTCAGGAGTTCAAGACCAGCCTGGGCAACATAGCAAGACCTCATCTCTACAAAAAAAAAAAAATTAAAAATCAGCCAGGTGTGGTGATACACACCTGTAGTCCTAGCTACTTGGGAGGCTGAGGTGAGAGGATCACCTGAGCCCACGAGGTGGAGGCTGCAGTGAGTTGTGATGGCCCCACTACACTCCAGCCTAGGAGACAGAGTGAGACTCCATCTCAAATAAAAATGTGTTTTTAAATCCCAACTTTGAGACTAAAGTAGACCATAGTTTATCAGCCTTCTTAAACACGGAGAGCCTTTTATCCCCACAGGCACAATTGAATTTATGTTTTGATAAATCATATTCACAGGATTTCATTATCCAAAATATAAACCGTGAACCAGAAGAAGTTTCCCATTCCTATCCCAACCACCCAAGAAGCGGCTGGATTCATGCCTGGCTTGTCTAGGATAAGCCTTTGCTCCATCCGTGGGTCTCCAGCTCATGGGTTGGAAACCCCCCGTGAAGACCAATCCTTTCGTTTGCTCCTGAGGCTCAGAGAGGTCAGGTGACTGCCCCAGAGTCACACAGCAAGTCAGCTGCAGAACCAGAATCCGCATCTGGGTCTCCCTGCCACCTCATCACCTCCCTGCCTGCTCTCCCTCCCCACAGCTCGGGGGCTGGAACATCACAGGTCCCTGGGCCAAGGACAACTTCCAGGATACCCTGCAGGTGGTCACTGCCCACTACCGCACCTCGCCCTTCTTCTCTGTCTACGTCAGTGCCGACTCCAAGAACTCCAACAGCAATGTGATCCAGGTGAGCTGGCTTGAAACTGCAGGGTGGAGGGCAGGGGGCACAATCTTTTCCTGTTTAGAGTTTAGTGGGCCCTGGGGTGGGAGAGAGACTTGCCCTGGGTGAGGCGGCTGTCTTCTGGCTTCTGAGCCTGGATTATTTCCAGAGGCCCCATTGGTGAGATCTTTGCAAGCTGCCGGCCTTGCATAGGTGGGCACTGCAGACAGGTGAACCTTCGGGTGTTGATGGGTTCCTGTGGGCCCCAAGAGCTATGTCAGCTCCTGGGCACAGCTGAAGCCATGTCCTGGTTTCCCCTCCTCAGCATCTGCTCTTTGTAACTCTGCTTGGAATGGTTTTGAATCCATCTTTCCCTGTCAGAGCATGCCCCAGACAGAGGATCAGCATGCCCAGGGGAGCCCCAACGCTGGTCTGCCCCAACCTCAGATGCAGAAGTAGGAACCCAGGCTAGGGGTCCTAAAGGCTGAGTTCCCAGCCCATCTCTACCATTTGCTCACTTTGTGACCTTGGGCAAGTGCCTCGACCTCTCAGAGCTACAGTTTCCTTATCAATCAAATGGACTGCAGTAACACCTGTCCTAGGCATGCCAAGATGTGGCCGTGGGCGCCAGTAGTGGCAAGCAGGAATTGACCTTCCCCTCCTGCTCGGCAGGCACTTGACTGGCACTGTCTTCTTGACTCTCGATTCCAGCTCTGAAGATGTGGTTTTATTTTCCCTATTTTCCTGATAAGGAACCTGAGAATCAGAAAGGTTCAGTAACGTGGCCAAGGTCACACAGCTTTTGAGTGACTCTTAACCACCAGGAAAGTACTGGGGAGATAGAGGTGCTTTGCTGAGGTGAGGAGGTGTTTAGAAAGGAGGGTGGCTCTGCCCAGCCCTTCCAAGGAGCCTGGGAGCCCTGTGGCGGACCAGGTGTACAGACAGGAATGTATCTTCCCATCCCTGAGTGGGCTTCCCAGTGACTGTAGCTACCAGTCCTGCTTCTGCAGGGGCCTGAGCAGGCCTCTGCTGCCACGTGCCAGCCATTCCCAGAGCAGGAGGCCGTGCAGTGGACACACGCGTGTGCAGCACAAATTGCCTCTCATGCCTGCCTCTCTCACTAGGTGGACCAGTCCGGCCTGGGCTTGCCCTCGAGAGACTATTACCTGAACAAAACTGAAAACGAGAAGGTGAGCGTGCCTCTCCCCTCCCCAGCCTGCCTCCCAGGATGGTTCTTCCTGCTTGGTCCACTCCCGAACCTATGCACGTCTTTGAAGCTAGGGGAGCCCAGGAGTGTTGGTGACCTGATGGGTGACAGGCAGACCCTGGCAGGGGAGGGACACTATCTAGGCTGGCTGTGTCACTCAGGCATCGTGGACACAAGGGGCAGGAGACAGGTATCTTTTGTCCTGGTTCTAGAGAGAGGCAGCAATAACAGCTACCACCATTGTGGGTGCCAGGCCTTCTAAATGTCACCTGCAACCCTCGCAATAGCCCTGCAGATACTGAACTTCCCTGAACCTCATTTGCCTCATCTGTCAAACAGGAATTAGTTTTATCTTGCCTTTTACAGAAAAGGGAATCAGGCTCAGAAATGCTAAGTGATCTGCTCAAGGTCACATAGGCAGTAAATGACGAGGCTGAGATTCACATCCAGATCCACGTGCTCCGAAGCCCACGGCTCTCCCTACCCTGACCTGCCTCTTGTGATGCCCTTGGGGTGAGCTCGCCTGGAACTCACTCATCTGTCCTTTCATTCTTCCACCCGAATGTCCTTGAGCAAACGCCCACAGAGTGCCTGATGCTGGGGAGATGGTGGCAGACAAGACCACCATAGCCTCCGTCCTATGGGGCCTGTGGTTTGGTAGGGGAGGCACATATTATTTAGCTAAGGGAAGGGGGAGCTGAGAAAGTCTACCATGGGGACCTAATTCAGATCCTGGAACACAGGGGTAGAGGGTGGTTAGATAAGGTACATTCTAAGAATGGAAAGACAGCCCCGGACAAACACTGGAAGACGGGGACCAGCCCATGTGGGGACCTGTGGAACCAGCCAAGACTTTGGGCTTTCTTCTGGGGACTGTAGGGAACCAGTGGAGAGACGTGGCCCCAAGACCATTCTCAACACTGTGTCTCCCACAGGTGTCTCTTTTTTTTGAGATGAAGTCTTGCTCTGTTGCCCAGGCTAGAGTGCAGTGGCACAATCTCAACTCACTGCAACCTCCTCCTCCTGGGTTCAAGCAGTTCTCCTGCCTCAGCCTCCCAAGTAGCTGGGATTACAGGCACGTGCCACCATGCCCAGCTAATTTTTGTATTTTTAGTAGAGATGGGGTTTTGCCATGTTGTCCAGGCTGGTCTTAAACTCCTGACCTCAGACAATCTGCCCGCCTCGGCCTCCCAAAGTGCTGGGATTATAGGCGTGAGCCACCACACTGGCCCCACAGGTGTCTTGACGGCACTGTGCAGCCCCCTGGCTCCCTGTGCTGGACTCGGCTGGCCAAGCCCCTCTTAACCCTTGTCCAGTGGATAGTGGGGGGCAGCCACTGACAGTTTGGGGTGTGGACCCTGCAGGTGCTGACTGGATACCTGAACTACATGGTCCAGCTGGGGAAGCTGCTGGGCGGGGGCGACGAGGATGCCATCCGGCCCCAGATGCAGCAGATCCTGGACTTCGAGACGGCACTGGCCAACATCACCATCCCACAGGAGAAGCGCCGAGACGAGGAGCTCATCTACCACAAAGTGACAGCGGCTGAGCTGCAGGTAACTTGAGCGCCAGCTGCTAGGAAGGCCAGGATGGCCACCACGCTTCAGACAGGGCCCTGGGCTGGGGGCTTTTATACTCATTTCATCTAGTCCTTGAAACCATGTGACAAAGGAAGGATGGTGGTTATGCCCAGTCCACAGGTGGAAAAACTGATGCTCAGAGAGATCAAGTTACCTGCTGAAGGGCACACAGCTAGTAAGTGACTCCAAAATGAGTGGCTGGCCAACACCAGCCTGCTTCTCTGTAATTAACAGTGTTCACTTTGAGACTCGGGATCATGACCACGCCAGCTCACATTGATGGTTCCTTTCCAGTCTCTCCAGCACCAAGCGCATCGAACCTGGGGTGTGGATTCTATCATTACGTTTCCCTTTTCTGAGCTAGAGCAAGGTCTGGAGGCTCCTAAGTGGTAGAGGAGCTGGACATTTGGCTCAGATTGGCTCACAGTATGACAGAGCGTTAGATCTGCGATGCAGTCTGTCACCCATCGGAGAAGCCTGATGTCCAAGGGCTCAGCTTCTGCCAAAGGCTGCCCTCCGACGGTGGCTTTGTCCTTGAGGGTCGGGAGGAAATAGCCTGCTGGTTCCTTCTTTCCAGAGTATCAGCTGGTATTGCAGCGGGATCAGCAGGGTGGCCACACTGATTTTCTCATTTCTTGACATCACCCAGGAATGCTTGGCTAGGCCTTGCTTCCCCGCTGGGCAGGGGTGTCACCTGTACACTGGGGCTCCCCCAGAGTGTCTTCTCCCTTCTTCCTGACCAGCTGAATTCTACCTGCCCATTCCTTCTACTTTCAGAAAGAAGACTAGGTCCCCGCCCTTTTCCCTCCTCTATCTGACAGGTGTATATGGGTCACCTTGGGACCTTGTACTTTATGTGCTTCCAGGCCAGTGGGGGACACCAGCTAGAAACAACCCTGTCTCATTGCTGAGTGCCTTGGGCAAAAGCAGCAGGCCCTGGGAGCCAGGGGTGGGGAGAAGTCAGAGATGGTGAGTGTAATGATGGGTGAGCATTTCCAGGCTGACTGAGTGTCCCAGGCGGAGATAGAGGCCATTGCAAGGGCCTGGGATCAGGGTCGGGAGCCTGGCCTCCTGCTGGTGCCAGCTGTTCTTCAGCTGCCACAGAAACTGGCCTGAGGCCGAGTGGTGTGGGGCGGGCCGGGATGGAGCTCGGCAGCTGCTGTTGGATACCATCTGGCACTGTTTTCCTGCTCTGAGGCCAGGAGGCTGAGGGTGATGTTGTTTATACATTATAATTTGCTTTGCTCCAGCCCGGTTCTCAGCCTGAATCCACTATCGTGGCCATGATGCCAACTGTCTGTGCCAGGAATAGTGGAGAAGGCACAGGAGCCTTGAGCACATCAGCCCAGCATGGCCACCAGGGTCCCCCCAGGTATCCTATCACCATAGCTGCTGCTCCCATCTTCCAAGCAAGGAAAGAAAGGCTTTTCCTCCCTCCCAGCTGCACAGCTGCCAAGGTGGGAGGAGCTTAGCAGACGTAGCAGCTTGCAGTAGCACAAGCCTGGGCTTAGGGTCAGAAGGACGATAAGCCCCTTGGAACTATAAGTGCTGGGATTATAGGCATGAGCCACCACGCCTTGGCAAACAGCCCCTGTGTTCTAAGTACCCAAGGTTCAACTAAGATCTTTAGGAAATATAGGGATTCTCTCCTTATGTTTTTACAGATATTTCTGATTAAATTCTAATGTGAATTTGGCTTCCTTCTTTGTAAAATGGGTTTGGCTCCTTCACTCACCCTTGCTGTGTGCCAGAACACAAATGAGACATAGCTCTTGGCCTCACAAGGGGCTGTGGTTCTTAACTTTAAGTCACAGAGTCCTTTGAGAACAGATCGAAAACCATGGACTGTTTCCTAGAATAAATGGGCAAATATGCATATTTTAAAAGTTACATCTGACTCTTAAAGAAGTCCTGGCCGGGCACAGTGGCTCACACCTATAATCCCAGCACTGTGGGAGGCCAAGGCAGGTGGATCACCTGAGGTCAGGTGTTCAAGACCAGCCTGATCAACATGGTAAAACCCCATCTCTCCTAAAAATACAAACATTTGCTGGGTGTGGTGGTGCACACCTGTAGTCCCAGCTACTCAGGAGGCTAAGGCAGGAGAATTGCTTGAACCCGGGAGGCAGAGGTTGCAGTGAGCTGAGATTGCACCACCGCACTCCAGCCTGGGTGACAGAGTGAGACTCCATCTCAAAAAAATTTTTAAATAAAAAATAAAGAAATCCCGGCCCCTTAAAGCCTGTGTTCTAAGTAAGAATGTCTTGTCTGGCCTGCCAGAGTTGCAGGAGAATAAGTTGAGGCAAAGGATGAGATTTTGTTCAGTAGACTGGTATGCATAACACAATACAAGCATAACATATCAGATTCAGCATTATTGTTGTTATTGCTTTGTTATTAGCATGTCATGCAGATTCCCCAGCACTAAATCGTTTGATTCTTTCTACCCTGGGACAGAGAATGCCTTGTTCCCTGGCGTCTGGAGTCTGGGGTTTTCTTCCCATACTCCGGGAAACTCAGAGAAAGGCACTCCAGGCTTCACAGTGTGCTTCTAGGCTAGCCCTGCTGAGGTACAGAATGATTCCAGGCTAGTTCCCAGCAGAGTCTGAACTCAGACACTCTTCCATTACTTCTGGGGGCCTGAGGACCTTCCCCTTCCTTTCTAGGACCCTCACACCAAAGGCTGTTTGGGCCTGAACCCCATTTTCTACCCCATTTCTCCAGTTGAGATGAAGCTCAGAAGCATTCTTCTCTTCTCTCGCACTTTCAATTCTACTAGAATTGGGTGGTTTGTGACCCACAGGATGCCTTGGCTGCAGGTGTGGAAAATGGAGCTCATCAGTGTGCCCCAGAGGGTGTGAGTCACAAGTGGAATGTCCTAGTCAGTAAAACAGCCATCTCCATGGAGATGGAGCTCCGCACATGTGTTTAAGATAGGAGTCACTAAAGCAGCCAGAATGGAAAATGGGAAAATCCTGGTATTCAGCATATCTTATCTGAGAGTCATGGGAACTTCCCCTGCACAGAACACCTGCTTTTCCTAAAGGGACAGGGTTGTGTTGAGTACACAAAGATTTCTCACCATCTTATATCTGTACCTTGATCAGAGAGTTCCCGTTGCCTGCAGTTTATGAAGCTCTCGTTCACTGTGCAAACACCGACATTTTATAAACTTGTCGATTTTTCCGAGGCCTTTGCCAGCAGGTCATGCGGTCACGTGGCTCTAATGGTGGAACCCTATTTGAAGATCTCATAACCGCAGCTTCAATTTTTGTTGTCACAGAAATGTTAAAGATTAGCCTCAGAGGTTACCTGCCTGAGGGCCTCCTGTCAGGAGGAGAACAGAGAGGACAAGGTAGGGAGAAAGGAAACTCAGGGTTATTGGGCAAGCAGGTACAAGAGACAGAGCCACCAGCTCTGGGAGGGGAGGCTGTTTCCCCATTTTAGAGACAACAGAAAAATGCTGGAGGTCTAGAGCTGGGGACGCTGTTCCTCCTGGGGACGCTGATCCAGGTCTGCTCATTCTTAGCCGAGGCTCTACCCAGCTCATCTAGCTGCCATGCAGGCAGGGGTACACTAGAGCCCCCTGGCCGCCGAGACTGCTGTGCACATCTCTTCCCAGCTCCGCAGTTATTTTGCCATCAGTCATGGTGGGAAGAGTTACCCAGAAACTGAGAGCCGGTTGTTAACTGTTTTGTTTTTGCTTTTGCTTTGAGACAGAGCTTTGCCCCATTGCCCAAGCTGGAGTGCAGTGGCATGATCTTGGCTCACTGCAACCTTCGCCTCCCTGGCTTAAGTGTTTCTCATGCCTCAGCCTCCCAAGTTGCTGGGATTACAGGCATGCACCACCACATCTGGCTGATTTTTTTTATTTTTGGTAGAGATGAGGTTTCGCCATGTTGGCCAGGCTGGTCTTGAACTCCTGGCCTCAGGTGATTCTCCTGCCTCAGCCTCCCAAAGTGCTGGGATTACAGGCATGAGCCACTGTGCCCGGCACAGTCGTTCAAGACTGTGTGTTTACCACCATGCCACTGCCTTCAGGACTTGCCCTCCTTACAAATTCACCTGTCCTTTGAGGTCCTTGTTCCCTAGCAGCTTAGTTGCCCTTTTAAACCTGAAGAGTTGAGTAAACCTGGGTTTTAGACCTCAACAGTGGCTAATTAACTATGTGACCTCAGGAAAGTCACCTTACCCCATCTGCAAATTCAGCATCTGTTAAGCAGGGGTTTACAGCTACCCCTCTCTCACAGAGGGTGTCATTGGTATTTATCAACAGGCTATAGATTGGTCTTACATCGCAGATCGATTTTACTTTATTGATTGATTTTTCCATATGAAGGCCATATATGATGCATCTCTCACCTGCTCTGTCTTGCATTTTGTCCTTTTTCAAGAAAACAAAAGAGAATTTGGAATTGGACGGGCCCAGGAACACACATGGGAGATCTTGAGCAAAGGTTGTAATGGCCAGCATTGATGGATGACTTGCTAAATACCAGACATACCAATCTAAGTGATTGACACATTATAGGCATTTTTACTGTACAAAGATTGTAATGGCCAGCATTGATAGATTGCTTGCTAAATTCCAGACATACCCATCTAAGTGATTGGCATATACAGGCATTTTTGCTGTGACAGTATATGTAGTCCTAAAAAACCTTGCGTTCTGTAAAATCACACACTAAAAATAACAGTACGTGTGGGGGAAATAGAACGGGAGCAGAACAAAAGTTACACAGCTTTACTTGAGGATATTGTGCTAAGCAAAATAAGCCCATCACAAAAGGACAAATACTGCCTGATTCTACTTATTTGAGGTACCTAGAGTAGTCAAGTTCACAGAGACAGAAAGTAGAATGGTCATTTCCAGGGGTGGGGGTTGGGGCCAGTGGGAAGGTATTCCCTAATGGGTAGAGTCTCACATTTGCAAGATGAAATCTGTGGGGCCAGGCATGGTAGCTCACGCCTGTAATTCCCTCACTTTGGGAGGCCGAGGCAGGTAGATCACGAGAGCTTAGGAGTTCGAGACCAGCCTGACCAATATGGTGACACTCTGTCTCTACTAAAAATAAAAATTAAAAAAAATAGCCAAGGGTGGTGGTGTGTGCCTATAGTCCCAGCTATTCGGGAGTCTGAGATAGGAGAATCACTTGAACCGGAAGGCAGAGGTTGCAGTGAGCCACGATCATCACCACTGCACTCCAGCCTAAGTGACAGAGTGAGACTCTCTCTCAAAAATAGATAAATAATAAAAAAAAGAAATCTGTGAATGGATAGTGGTAGTGATGACAGTGCAACCGTGTGAATGAACCGAATGCCCCTGAACGATGCTGTTGTTTTTTTGAGTCAGGGTTTCACTCTGTCAACCAGGCTGAAGTGTAATGGTGTGATTTCAGCTCACTGCAGCCTTGACCTTCTGGGCTCAAGTAATTCTCCACCTGGGACTATGGGTGCAGGCCACCATGGCTAGCTAATTTCTAAATTTTTCTTGTAAAGATGGTGTCTTGCCATGTTGCCCAGGTTGGTCTTGAACTCCTGGGCTCAAGTGATATGCCCGCCTCAGTCTCCCAAAGTGCTGGGATTGCAGGCATGAGCCACTGTGCCTGGCCTTCAACTGTGCTCTTAAACACGGTGAAGATGGTGAATTTTTTGTTATGTGTATTTTACCACAATATATAGAGTCTCACTCTGTCGCCCAGGCTGGAGTGCAGTGGCTCAGTCTGGGCTCACAGCAACCTCCACCTCCCCAGTACAGGCAATTCTCCTGCCTCAGCCTCCCGAGTAGCTGGGACTGCAAGCATGCACTACCACTACCATGCCCAGCTAATTTTTTTTTTCTTTTTTTTTTTTTTTTGAGACAGGTTCGCTCTGTTGCCCAGGCTGGAGTGCAGTGGCGCGATCTTGGCTCACTGCAACCTTTGCCTCCCAGGTTCAAGCGATTCTCCTGCCTCAGCCTCCCAAGTAGCTGGGACTACAGGTGTGCACCTCCATACCTGGCTAAGTTTTGTATTTTTGGTAGAGACAGGGTTTCATCATGTTGTTCAAGCTGGTCTCGAACTCCTCACCTCAGGTGGTTCACTGGCCTCAGTCTCCCAAAAGGTACTACAATTTTTTTTTTTAAGTTGTGCAACTTTGTAATCAGAATTCTAACAAAACAATTGGAAACTTGAGGAGTACCTCAGCATGGCCAGAGGCTGCCGTGGGGAACGCGCCGGCTGGGAAGTGCTAGCTGTGGACACTAAGACCCTACAGATAAGACAGGGAGCTCTGAGCAAGTGTCTTTGGGGTCCTGGAGAAAGTACAACCTGCTGGAAGCTGAGAGTTGCAGAGCCTCTCTAAGGACAGTAAACCCCAGGCTTAAGGGGTTTTCGGTCATCTTAAAATATAGCTGACCATGCTGGCTCATGCCTGTAATCCCAGCACTTTGGGAGGCCGAGGCAGGCAGATCCCTTGAGGTCAGGAGTTTGAGACCAACCTGGCCACCATGGCAAAACCCCGTCTCTACTAAAAATAAAAAATTAACCAGGCATGGTGGTGGGCACCTGTTGTAATCCCAGCTACTCAGGGGGCTGAAAGAGGAGAATCACTTGAACCCCAGAGGCGTAGGTTGCAGTGAGCCGAGATGGCACCACCGCACTCCAGCCTGGGTGACAGAGTGAGACTCTGTCTCAACAAAAAACAAGTAGACCTGACCAGCCTCCTGTGTGCATTGGCTGAGCTGAGGGCTTTTCCTTTCTTGCTGAAGGTTAGCGTTTGACCCTTCCCAATTGTCAGGCCTCCAAGTCCAAGCCTGGCCATGATAGCCTTGGTGACCTGCTCATACACCTCCAGCTGGTCTCCGGGAACCAGAAAGTCTAGAGTAACTGGATGGCCATGAAGAGAAGTGAAACAACTAGCTCCTGCCTCAACTGATTGCTCTCCCCCGCAACACTTGTCCATTGTTCCTGCCCAGCCTTGTGAAATTTCCACCCTAGCCATTAGGTTTCTTAAAACCCCTACCCCTGTAACTGTGTAATTTACCGCACCCCCCGCTCTACTTGCAACCAATAACCCCCACCCTTACGATCATGCCTGTTTGTAGTAGATAACCCCTACCCTTGTGACCATGCATCCCGTGACACCCTTCCCCTCCCTAAAATAGTTACCACCTTTAACTAACCAATTGCCGCATCCTGTATAACCAGACCCTTTCTTACTCCCCTCGCCTAACTCCTTTCTCAAACTTGGCCCGCTTGCACCCAAGTGCAAATAGAACTGCCTCGTTGCCCACATGAAGCCTGCCTGGTGGTTTCTTGAGGCGAGCGACGCGCTTAACACTGATCCCATGCCTGAGAAACATCACCTTTGGACCAACGCAGCTCACACGTCATGCTGCTGTCATCCGGAATTGACCAATCATGTAGAAGCTCACTGAGATTACAGAACCCAACGTCGAATAGAACAGACGGCGTAAGCTCGTTCAGTCCTCACAAATAACCCAGTGAAGTGGATTCTGTTATGCTGATTCCCATCTTTCAGACAAGATACTGAGGCCCAGAAGGGTTCATTCACTTGCCCAGGGTTACACAGCTAGCAAGTAAGAGAGCTAGAATATGAGCCCAGGAGGTTTGGCTGCAGATTCTGCATGCTCAACTGTTTCAGGCCTGTCTGAAGCTCAGTCTCTTCACAGATAAAGCAGAGATAATAGTACCTACTACCTGGATCTCCCGAGGACCAATTGGCATAATATGCATGAATCATTTGCCACAGCTTTGGCACACAGGAGACGCTGGGTGAATGGTAGCGGCAGCTGCTGCATCTTCTCATTCCATCCTAGTTCCATTTCAAGTTAAATGTTGGTATTGGACTCCTTAGAATTCTACCTACAGCATCTCCGACAAAAGTCTGCTGGCCTCCCTTTGACTCTCTGCCCAGTGCACTGTCAGACAGCGCCAAGCCCAAGCTCTTTCCTTTGCTTCCTGTAGCAGCCCATCCTGGAGACCGGGGCTATGAGGAGAAGCAGCCTTGCAGGTCACATTGTCCTTTTCCCTTGCAGACCTTGGCACCCGCCATCAACTGGTTGCCTTTTCTCAACACCATCTTCTACCCTGTGGAGATCAATGAATCCGAGCCTATTGTGGTCTATGACAAAGAATACCTTGAGCAGGTCTCCACACTCATCAACAATACAGACAAATGGTAAGGGGACCCCGGTGGCCTGGGGCACGCCTCTCACAGGCAGTCCTCCTCTTGGGTAGGCTGGGCAGGGGTGGGGATGACAAACTGACTCAGAAGAGTGAGACCGGGATGGGCTTTTATGAGAGGCAGCAGGACCTCCTGGTTATGGGCACAGGTTCAAATCCCAGCTCCTTTCCAACTACCAGCTTTGTAGCCTTGGGCGGATTTCTTATCCTTTCTTAAGTTCATTCTCCTCCTCCATAAAATGGGATACAAATAGCACCTATGGCCAGGCACAAATGCCTGCAATGGAAGGATTTTGGGAGACTGAGGCAGGAGGATTGCTTGAGTCCTGGGATTCAAGCCCAGCCTGTGTAACACGGCGAGATGGCGTCTCTACAAAAAATTAAAAATTAGCCAGACATGGTGTCACGTGCCTGTCGTCCCAGCTACTTGAGAGGGAGGCGGAAGTGGAAGGATTGCTTGAGCTCAGGAGGCAGAGATTGTAGTAAGCTGTGATTACACCATTGCACTCCAGATTGGGAGACAGAGTAAAACCCTGTCTCAAACAAACAAAACCTAGCACCTACCTTTTAGGGGTGTCATGAGAATCAAGTGAAACAATCCATATGAGGTGATTTAATACAGTGCCTAGCATGCAAGGGGACTCAATAAATGTTGGCTGTTATTTTAGTTAATACTTAAAATTTTCTTTTTTTTTTTTTTTTTTGAGATAGTCCTGCTCTGTCACCCAGGCTGGAGGGCAGTTGCGCAATCTCAGCTCACTGCAACCTCCACTGCCCAGGTTCACATGATTCTTCTGCCTCAGCCTCCCAAAGTGCTGGGATTACAGATACCTGCCACCACAGCTGGCTAATTTTTGTATTTTTTAGTAGAGATGGGGTTTTACTATGTCGGCCAGGCTAGTCCCAAACTCCTAACCCCAAATGATCTGCCCGCCTCAGCCTCCCAAAGTGCTGGGATTACAGATGTAAGCCACCACGCCTGGCAATACTTACAATTTTTAAAGTTATTGAAAACTACCAAAAAAACAGGAAAAGATTTTATTTTATTTTATTTAACTTATCTTTTTCCTAACTCCCCAAACTTGTTAAAAACATTTTTTTTTAATGAGATGGGGTCTCACTATGTTGCCCAGGCTGGTCTCAAACTCCTGGGCTCAGGCAACCCTCCCACCTTGGCCTCTCAAAGTGCTAATATTACAGGCATGAGCCACCCACCAGACCCTGAAAAAATTTTAAATGACTCCTACTGATCTCGGGTGTGTGTGTGCATGTGTGTGTGTGTGTGTGTGTGTGTGTGTGTGTGTGTGCGCGCGCGCGCACGCATATATAGTGAGAAAGCATGGGGAAGGCAGGAGAGAGGAAGGAAGGAGAGATGGGTTTTCTAATATGTGGTCCTTTTTTCCCAACATCATGACTAAATGTGTAGTCTCCTTTTCCCTTCACTTTTCTTTTTGAGACGGAGTCTCGCTCTGTCACCCAGGCTGGAGTGCAGTGGCGTAATCTTGGCTCGCTGCAACCTCCGCCTCCCGGATTCAAATGATTCTCCTGCCTCAGCATCCCAAGTAGCTGGGATTACAGGCATGTGCCACCACACCTGGCTAATTTTTGTATTTTTAGTAGAGACAGGGTTTCACCACGTTGGTCAGGCTGGTCTTGAACTCCTGACCTTGTGATCCTCAGCCTCCCAAAGTGCTAGGATTACAGGGGTGAGCCTCCATACCCAGTCTTCCCTTTGACCTTTAATGTGAGCATTTTCCCCCATGTAATCTCAAAACCTCTGCAAACATCATTTTTCATGGTTGCATAGTGTTCCATCATGTACAACTACAGTTCTTCACTTCCTTCTTCTCATTGTCAGGCATTTTGGTTGATTCTGATTGGAGGTTAGCTGTTCATTACAGTGCTAAGGTGACTTCTTGGCAACTGTGGCAACAGCCACAGATAGGTTCCCTGTGCCCTGGGGGTGGGCAGTGGGAGCTGTCATCATGGAACCCTTGGCCTGGCTGGCAGAGCTTCTTTTCCTGCCCCTCCTATTCTTAGCCTCCTGGCCTTGTGGCTGTGGCACCTCCAAGCTGTAGAAATGGTAGTCGCCTCTCCACCCCAGCCCTGTGGCACACACCACTGGGGTGAGTCTCCATGTTGGGGCTTCATAGCTTCCAGACACAGAGCAGCTAGGCCACAAGCATCTGTGGTGTACAAGTGATTGCATTAAAAACACTGAGGCATTTTCTATGGTAGGAGACCCAGGCTTTTCCCTTGAAGAGCTTACATTAAACAAACTTAGGGAGCAGTAACCCGCCAAACCTGGGCAAGCTTGAAGGGGCCTGGGGTCACAAGCCGAGTTTGAGAGCCCCCTAGGAGCCAGTGGGGGAAGGGCTGCGATGGTCCCTGCGTAGGTGTCCCTGAGCCCATCTAGCCTCCTCTCCCTGCAGCCTGCTCAACAACTACATGATATGGAACCTGGTGCGGAAAACCAGCTCCTTCCTCGACCAGCGCTTTCAGGATGCCGATGAGAAGTTCATGGAAGTCATGTATGGCACCAAGAAGGTGAGCCTGATGCTGTGCACACCTGAACATGGGCTGAGCACCTACTTTATGCTGAGGCGTCTGTGGGAGCATGGGAAGGGACCTTGGCCAGCTGGGGGCGGGCAGAAGCTTCCAGAAGGAGGTGATAATGCCAAGGAAAGGGTAAAGAGGGGTCCTAGCCACTTAGCCAATTTATAGCAAAAGTAGTTGCCAGTAGTGATGATAAATGCTCTCCTTGAGCAACTCACGTGATCCTCACAATGCCTGTGCAGTGGGCAATGTTATTATCCCCACTTTGCACAGGGGAGCCCCAACAGTATGACTTCTTCCCCAGAAACATAAAACACAGAACAGCGTCTGGCTTGTGGAAGCACCACGAGACCGTTCGCTGTTACTATTTTCCTCCCAGTTTGTAGTCTGGGAAACCGCAGGCCAGGTGGGCTCTACCTGCCTTTAAATGCCCCACCATGACCCAGAGGGTCCACTCTTCCAGAGGCTTCAGGGACCTCCCCTGCCCTCCCACAGGGGAACCTGCCCCCAGTGGAAAGTTCCACAGCCACTTCCACCTTCTCCCCAAGGAAGGGGCTATCTCCCTCTTACTCATACAGCTGACTAATGGTTACTCACTACACTCCTGACACTGCGTGCCAGTACGGCAATACTGAGACAGGTGAGCTGGGCTCTGTACCCCGAGAGCCCACACCGGCTGAGGGAGGTGATAGGAGCTGACCTGTTCCCATATGCGCTGTTGAGATACCTCAAGCCCCGGCCCCAGAGAGCAGCTGGAGGGGCCCAGCTACAGAGCAGCAGAGGCTGGTGTGCCCAGCTTACCTGACACGCCTTCCCTGTAGGGTCCAGCAGCCTTTATGCAGGCATGACAGAGGCCTTAGAGCATCTTGCCTTAGTGTCATTCATTTCACAGTGTCACCCCAGGTTCACACTTCCGACCTGAGAGGCATTAGTAAAAGAATTAAGATCACCTATGAATAACTAAGATCACATACAAATAACTAATTACTACGGTTATATTTCTAGTTACTTTCTTCTTCATTATTTATATGGAAATAGGCTGAGGCCTTTTGCTCTTGCCTCAGCGCTTATGGGATCTCCCCGCTACACTTCCCTAACCCAGGACAGCAGCTAGCAAGGCCCCAGCAGTCCTCCTCAGAGAGCAGGCAGAGCTGACTCCAGCTGGACCCCACCCCTGCAGCCCTTCGCAGAGTCCAATCCAGATGAGGATTGGCAGAGAATTGCAGGGTGTGAGCTCCTGCTTCCAGCCCGGGAATGCATCCTGCCAGTCCTCTCTCCCATCCCCATGCAAACCTACCTCTGACAGGAAGGGGACTGAGGAAGACGGTAGCTGGGAACAAGCCCCATTTCTAACCAGAGGAGCTTCCAAGGGCACCACCACGCCTTGGCCACGAGAGCCACGCTGCCCTACGGAGGCCAAGGAGGAGCAGTGTGCTGGCTGCCCTGCCCGGCCAAATCGCCTGCCTGCTCCTCCTGCATCTGCCTTGGACTGGCCCATCTGCCGTCCCCAAAGCCTGGATTCTGTTCCCTGCAGAACTTGGCCTTCCAGGGGACTTTCCAGAGAGAGGTTGGATTAGGACCCAGGATGGTGGTTCCAGAGATGGTTCTGTGTGTGGAACATACACCCGCATCAGCTCTCGCCTTTCCGGGTTACAGATTAGGAAACTGAGGCTCAGGGAGGTGAAGGGACTTTCTTAGTCACCCAGAAAGAAAGCAGCAAGGGCCTGGGGCAGTGGCTCATGCCTGTAATCTCAGCACTTTGGGAGGCCGTGACAGATGGGTCACTTGAGACCAGCCTGGAAAACATAGCAAGATCCTGCCTCTATTTTTTTAAATAGTTATTTATTTATTTATTTTTAAAAAGCAGCAAGCTTGAATGCGATCCCAGATCTTATTACAACTTTGTGGCACTTTCAGCTCCTCATTTATAATAATGACAATAATAACCAAAGAGATCATTATTGGATATCTACCTTTTATAGGCATGATCTCAACCACGTTCCTGCAACACTTATCATCGTCCATGTTGCAGATGAGGAAACCAAGGCTCAGTGAGGGAAAGGGACTTGTTCAAAGGTGCTTATAAGTGAAGAGGAGGCTCTCAGATCTGACATATCTGATTCCATAGCCCTGAGCTCTGTACCACTCAGCCTCTCTTCTTCAGAGACCAAAAGCTAAGATCAAGCTTCCCTGTGGTCACCAAGGGCTGAGATGGGGGAAGAGGGATGAGGAATTATTGTTTAATGAGTATAGAGTTTCAGATTTGCGAGATAAAAAAGTTCTGAGCCAGGCACAGTGGTGCATGCCTGTACTGTGGTCCCAGCTACTGCGGAGGCTGAGGTGGGAGGACTGCCTGAGCCCAGGAGTTTAAGGCTGCAGCCAGCTGTCACTGACTGCACCACCGCACTCCAGCCTGGGCAACAGAGAGAGACCCCATCACTTTAAAAAAAAAATAATTAGTTGCAGAGTGAGCTTCCCTGGGCCACGTTCAAAGCACAGAATGTTGCTCGCTCGAATGTGGCACTTGGAGCAGGTGGGGCACAGGGAGGCCTCAGAAGAGGCAGGGGCAGGTGGAAACCCTGAGCTGGGAGGCTCTGAGCAGGGGGTCTCTGGTTACCCCAGGGCTGATGGGTGAAGGCTGCTGCTCACCTCTTTCTTAATATCCAGCCCTCCCCACTCCCCCACTCTGACGGCATCTGGGCCCAGGCCAGGTCCCTCCTGCTTGCGTTCAGCCCAACTTAAAGCCACCTCCTAGCTCTGTGACCTTGGGTAGTCCTTATACCTCTCTGAGCCTGTTTTTTTTAATCTGCAATTGGAGATCATTCCTGACCTCACCTCACAGGACCTTTCTGTATGACCTCCGTTTGGGAAAAAGCATGGAACCTGGGAAGCAGTGTGGCCTGTGCATTTGTTCATCCTGTCAGGGAGGGAGCCTGCTATGAGGAAACAGCACAGAATTTGGGATCAGAAGATCCGAATTTGAAATGTTTCTTCTAACAACACCTTAGGCAAATTGCTTAATTGGGGCAGGGGCTCAATCTCCCATCTGTAACAAGGGGTAACAAATCCCTGCCCTGCACACCCCCAGGCTGCCTAGGATGACATGGGGGGTCCCTGTGAAGTCTGTTCTGACTGCTCAAGTGCTGCACGTGGCTGTTTCTCATCAGCTGTCACCCATTTGTGACTTAAGACTTCCAGCAGGAAGGAAGGAACCCCTTGCTGAGTCCTTGTATTACAGCGAGGAAATTTAAAAAATGCAGCCGGGCGTGGTGGCTCACGCCTGTAAACCAAGCACTTTGGAGGCCAGGGTGGGCGGATCACCTGAGGTCGGGAGTTCAAGACCAGCCTGACCAACATGGTGAAACCCCATCTTTAAAAAATTAAAAAAAAAAAAAAAATGCAGCCAGCTCAGGGTGGAGGAGGCTGCCTGGCTGCTCCTTATCTTCCTGGACTTGAGTCAGAAATCACCTCCAAATGCAGCCTTCCTGACCGGTCAGATCCATCTGACCCTTGCTCCCTTTGGAGATTTTTCTCATCATCCAGTAGCACTTCTAGGGACTTTGTGACTTGTAGGCAGAGAGTGTAGCCTCTTTGAAGGAAAGCATTGGAGCCAGACTTTTTGAGTTCAAATTCCACCTCTGTCTGGGCGTGGTGACTCACACCTGTAATCCCAGCACTTTTCGGAGCCCAAGGCAGATGGATCACCTGAGATTAGGAATTTGAGGCCACCCTGGCCAACATGTTGAAAGCCCATTTCTACTAGAACTACAAAAAATAGTCGGGTGTGATGGCACACACCTGTAATCCCAGCTATGTGGGAGGCTGAGGGAGAAGAATCACCTGAACCCGGGAAGCAGAGGTTAAGATTGCACCACTGCACTCCAGCCTGGAAGACTGAGCGAGACTCCATCTCAAAAAAAAAAAAAAAAATCTACCTCAAGCACTTACTCCCTGGGTGATCCCTTTGGCCAAGTGATTTAACCTCCCTATGCTGCCATTTTGTTTCGTTTGTTTTTGAGACCGACTCTCACTGTGTCACCAAGGCTGGAGTGCAGTGGCACTATCTCAACTCATTGCAACCTCCACCTCCTTGGTTCAAGGGATTATTCTGCCTCAGCCTCCCGAGTAGCTGGGACTACAGGTGCATGCCACCATGCCCAGCTAATTTTTGTGTTTTTAGTAGAGACAGGGTTTTACCATATTTGCCAGGCTGGCCTCAAACTCCTGACCTTGTGATCCACCTGCCTCAGCCTCCTGAAGTGCTAGGATTACAGGCGTGAGCCACCACACCCAGCCCTCTGCAGTTTTTTAGCTGCAAAAAGAAACAGAGACACCAGCCTGGTGTAGTTAGTGTGAGCAGTATATGCGGTCGGGTCTGGCACACAGTAAGCACTCGCTCCATTGCTTCACTTCACTGCAGTGACTGCTGTGGATAGTGCTATCACATGTCTCTCTCACCGGATGTTCTGGGCATTTCAGTTGAGACCCAGGCGTGCATGCAGGCTCACTGTTGATTCATCTCTAGTTTCCAAAGACCTAGCACAGGCCGGGCGCGGTGGCTCACGCCTGTACTCCCAGCACTTCGGGAGGCCAAGGCAGGCAGATCACCTGAGGCTGGGAGTTTGAGACCAGCCTGATAAACATGGAGAAACCCCATCTCTACTAAAAATACAGAATTAGCTGGGCATGGTGGTGCACGCCTGTAATCCCAGCTACTCAGGAGGCTGAGGCAGGAGAATCACTTGAACCCGGGAGGTGGAGGTTACAGTGAGCTGAGATGGCGCCATTGCACTCCAGCCTGGGCAACAAGAGCTAAACTCCATCTAAAATAAAAATAAAAAAGACCTAGCACAGTCAGGTTGCAGGGGAACTGCTCAGAATGCTCAGAGAACACTGGAAGCGTAAATGAATGAAGCACATATGAAGGAAGGGTTTATCCAGAGAATCTCCTGAGAAGATGATGCGTAAGAGTCTGTCCATGATTCAGCTCTCACAGCCTGGAGCCTCAAATTAGAGTTCCCCTAGTCCTAACTTCCTGTGTGGCTGGCCTCAGCCAGACACAGACCATGTGTCCAGCTTTGGGCTTCTCAGCCTAGGGAGGGCAGGCAGGGTAGGGAGGGAGAGGCTGAGGGCAGGCATCCAAATGGACACGTAGTTGGGAAAGCTAAAAAGAACTTGGGTGGCCAAACTTAGAGACAAGAAGAGTGGCCCTTCCTTCCTTCTTTCTTTCCTGGAAGAAATTTTTATAACTAAGGCATAATTTACATACAATAAGATATGCAATATACCTTAAGTATACAGTTCAGTGAGTTTCTGGCTTTGTTTTGTTTTGAGATGGAGTCTCACTCTCTCGCCTGGGCTGGAGTGCAGTGGCACGATCTGGGCCCACTGCAACCTCCACCTCCAGGGTTCAAGCGATTCTCATGCCTCAGCCTCTCAAGTAGCTGGGGTTACAGGTGCCCACCACCACACCTGGCTAATTCTTGTATGTTTAGCAGAGACGGGGTTTCACCTTGTTGACCAGGCTGCACTGACCTCGGGTGATCCACCCACTTTGGCCACCCACAGTGCCGGGATTACAGGTGTGAGCTGCTGCGCCCGGCCCTGTTTTGTTTTTGGCTGGTTGGTTGGTTGGTATAAAAATACCAAATTTTGTTGATCCACCTGCCTGTTGATGGACATTTGGGCTGGTGTCATTTAGGGCTATTATGAATCCGGCTGCCTTGAGCATGGGTGATTGTCACCACCTGTTCTTTGGGGTTAAGAGGACATTGCTTCCTCTGTAACACTTGGGATTGATGTAAGCAGGGCCACCACACATGGTCACATACACTGCCCACAGAGGGATGTCTGGCCGAGGATCAGTGGGCCAGCACTAGCTGGGCACGTGGCCCTGGCCATGCCCGGGGGTTGCAGCCCACAGACGCCTGTTTCTGGTTCACGCAGAGGTGTCGTGTGGACTGTGGGACTGGTAGGTGAGACCAGGAAGAATCAAGGCGTTGCAGTCCCACGGTGAGCCGGGCGTGGTGACTCACACCTGTAATTTCAGCACTCTGGGAGGTTGAGGCAGGAGAATCACTTGAGCCCAGGGCCCAGGAGTTCTAGACCAGCCTCAGCAATATAGTGGAACCATGTCTCTATTTAAAAAAAAAAAAAAAAAAAAAAAAATTTAACAGAATAAAAGTATCAGGCATGGTGGCATGCACCTATAGTCCCAGCTACTTGGGAGGCTAAGGTAGGAAGATCACTTGAGCCTGGGCGGTGGAGGCTGCAGTGAGCTGTGATCATACCACTGCACTCCAGCCTAGGTGACAGAACAAGACCCTGCCTTAAAAAAAAATCCTGCAGTGTTGCTGTAGTGTTCTCATGTGAGGAGCTCGTCAATGGCATTGGAGCCCTGGCTCTCCAGGAAGCTCTTTCTGTGGCTCAGGGTAGACCGTTACTCCCCATGGCTCTTTGCCCCTGGGACTCCCGGTCTCCGCTGGAGGCAGGACAAGCAGGGGGTAGGTAGGAGCATGGGATGTGGAGTCAGGCACATCTCAATTCTTGTCCCAACGACACTTGTCTCTCGCAGGGGCACCCTGGGCCAGAGGCTGCTCCATGCCGAGTATTTCCCCACCTGTCAAATGGCTCCTCGTAAGCCCCGAGGGTCATTGAATGGCTCAGTGGGACACTGTGAAGTCCCAGCACAGAGCCTGGCATTCAGGAAATGGAAGGGGGTGGCAATGAGGTGTATCAGTGGTCTCTCGGTCTGGTCACTAAAATAACTTTACTGGGTTGGGGAGCTCTCCCTGAACTTCCAGAACGAAGCGTGGGCCCCACATGGTGATACCTCCGGGAAAGAAAGCGGCTGGGAAGAGAAAGGCTGGGGCCCAGTATGACCCCAGCTTGTGTTTTCCAGACCTGTCTTCCTCGCTGGAAGTTTTGCGTGAGTGACACAGAAAACAACCTGGGCTTTGCGTTGGGCCCCATGTTCGTCAAAGCGACCTTTGCCGAGGACAGCAAGAGCATAGTAAGTGCCTCCCCCGTGGATACATGCCATGAGGTCACACGTGCTGTGGCCATGCGCAGACCTGCCAGTCACACTCCGGCCCACCTTGGGCCTTTCCTGCTCTGGGACAGAGGGTCCTGGGGCCGCAGCCTCAATGCAGAGGCCCCAATTCCCAGAGCCCTGGGTGATGGGAGTCTCGCGCCGGCAGCTCTTAGTCCAGCCCCTTCATCTGCACAAGCTCCTGTGAGCCTCACAGCAGCCTGCCAGGCTGGGGCAGCCATCCCCACCTCCAAGGCTGTGAGGGACCCAGAGAGAATGTTGGCAGAGCAGTTTGGCCCAGAGGGTGACATTTTTCTTATCCTGTGGGTGATAGGTTTGTTCTAGACAGGCAGAGGAATACCATGGCAGGGTGCTGTGGAAATAGCCAGGCCTAAACTCAGATCCCGGCTTCACCGCTGGCCGGGTGGCCTGGGACAGTTCTTACATCATCTGTAATGTGGAGGCGGGGCCTGTCCTCCCGCAGAGAGAGATTAAATGAGATGCCACACACTGGGCACTGGCATAAAATAAGGGTTCAGCCAATGGGAGTGGTCACTCTATTGTTACAATCTTGATGACAAATCGTATTCATTATGTCGATGTCATCTGCAGCCAGTGAGCCAACCCCAATTCAGATCCATTGCAGTGACCGGCCTGTGAGCAGCTGGGCAGGTCTGAGTTGGGGTCTGCTGGCCCCTCTGCTCTTGTTGCTGCACAGCTCTGCCTTCCCATTCTCTAGAGCCTTCCCCCCTCCGTTTCCGAACTTGTCTGCTCTTGACATTGTCACCCTTGAGAGCACCCATCCATCTCCAGCCTGAGCATGCACTTCTGAAGCTGTGCCTCGGAACATGAGTACTCTAGATTTTAAAGCTCGTTCCATCAGAAAGGAATGGTGTGGTCCAATAAGTCTGGGAGAGGCTGTGTATTCTCCCCTCTCTGGAAGAATCGCAGTACCTGTTACCACATTAAAGGCTCTGAAAAGTACCACGGCAGAGACTTTTCGAACTTTCCTGAAGCTCATCCTAAGCGGATTGGAGCGTGGAGCCCTGTGTGTAGAAGGCCAGTCCTGCCTTGCAGGTTTTCATGTTAGGAGCATGGTTTGGAAACCACAGCTGTGGCTCTCCTTCTCACCCCAGCCTGATGCTTTGAAAATGGAGTTGAATCTCTGGCCCTGCATCATTCTTCTGCATGGGGTGCCCATTGCATTTAGAGACCAGTGTCCAGACCTCACTGCTGTGATGTGTGTCTCCTCAGGCCACTGAGATTATCCTGGAGATCAAGAAGGCATTTGAGGAAAGCCTGAGCACCCTGAAGTGGATGGATGAGGAAACCCGAAAATCAGCCAAGGAAAAGGTAAGGCTGGCCAGATACTGGGAGGGGGTGCTGTGGCATCCAGCACAGACGGAGGAGGGTCGGGGAAGGAGAGGCCAGTTCTATCCGGGAGCACAGCCTGGATGCTGTCTCACTTTCATGAGGTGAGTGGTCTAGGCCTAGCAGGATTCAGGGTCACCTCAAGCACACAATCACATGGACATCTGTAGAAGACAAACCTCACTGAGTGCACGGGGGAAAGGTGCAGGGAGACGCAGCATGTCCCGTGGGGCAGGACGAATCCGGCACCATCCATGGGGTGGGAGTCAGGAAAGACTTCCCTTGGGAAAGTGACATTTAAACAGAGACCTAAAGGATAAGTAGAAGTTTGACAAGGGGAAAACCTTTCCAGAAAAAGACCTGAAAGCCCAAGGCAGGCAGGGCCTGGCCCTGGTCCCCCTTGACCCAGACTATGAGCCCAGCAGCCAAGGAGCCGAGGCTGGCCTGGCCGGTGTTGCCAGGCGCTCACTTCCTCTGTCCTATGCAGGCAGATGCCATCTACAACATGATAGGTTACCCCAACTTCATCATGGACCCCAAGGAGCTGGACAAAGTGTTCAATGATGTGAGTACCTGCTGCCATGCCCCCTTGCATTCCCAAATGCCCCCTGTGGAGAGGGCTGGGCGGGGCTGGGTCCAGATGGGGTGCTAGAGGCAGCATGGTTGTCAAAACACAAGTGCCTATAGTCCCAGCCACTTGGGGGCTGAGATGGGAAGATCACTTGTACTCCAGAAGTCAAGGCTGCAGCAAGCTGTGATTACACAACCACACTCCAGCGTGGGCGACAGAGCAAGACCCTATCTCAAAAAAAAAGAGGGATGATGTGGTGTGAGGTTTGAGGATGGGTCAGGCATGAGGAAGCCTTTTCTGCTCCTTAATTCGACTCCTGGGTCAGCTGGAGGCCCTGCCTCCCCGTAGCCACCATCAATCCGGCAGCACCCACCAGTCAGTACAGAACTCGTGCTGTGCGCCCCTGGAGATGGTCAGCTCCATTTGATGTGTGGGAAATAATGGAGGAAACAGATCCCAGAAGGTGCAGAGAGAATTGGTGGCCCTCAGACATCAGGGGTGGAACATGAAGTGGAAAACCCTCACACCACCTCCTCCCTCTCTGGTCGTGCCTCCCAGAGTTACCTCCTGTCCCCGTGGTCCTCCCCCATCTCCCCAGAAACCCAGACCTCTGATTTTGCCTTTGAAATGCTAATGGGAAAGAAGCAGCATAAACCCATGTGCATTTTTAAGCTTGGTTTGGGCAGCAGGGGTAGTTGATAGATCCCTGCTCGTTAGAACTTTTGGCAAATCACTCCGTTAAGTGGATTGTGCTTCTGCCTCAAATGATAAAGTTTTATATTTTCTTCTGATTGAAATACTTGAATTCAGGCATTTAAAAAAAAAATTTTTTTTTTGAGACAGGGTCTTACTCTGTCACCCAGACTGGAGTGTAGTGGTGCTGTCTCAATTCACTGCAACCTCTGCCTCCCAGGTTCAAGCAAGTCTCCTGCCTCAGCCTCCAAGTAGCTGGGATTACAGGCGCATGCCACTACCACCTGGCTAATGTTTGTATTTTTAGTAGAGGCTGGGGCGGGGGGGGGGGGGGGGTTTCACCATGTTGGCCAGGCTGGTCTCGAACTCCTGACCTCAGATGATCCACCTGCCTTGGCCTCCCAAAGTGCTGGAATTACAGGCGTGAGCCACCGCACGCAGCTTGAATTCAGACATTTAAAAATCTAATAACGTCTCATCATGCTTATATTTAGAACCTAAGACTATACAAACTCTTTCTGAGATCATGAGACTCATTCTGCAGCCTTTTTCCTTGAGAGTCATTTCAGATGCTCCAGGGTGTCCTGATGCAACATCCTTGGGCCCCTGGAGGCATCCCAGATACAGCCCTGGATCCACTCCTGTCCCTGAGGCTCCAGCATTTTACCAGAGCCAGGGAGAATTTTGCACCTGTCAAGAGCTGAGCCAGGTGCAGTGGCTCATGCCTGTAATGCCAACACTTTGGGTGGCCGAGGTCGGGGGACTGCTTGAGCCCAGGAGTGTAAGACAAGCCCGGGCAACATAGTGAAACCTCATCTCTACAAAAAAAATTAAAAGTTAACTGGGCAGGGTGGCATGTGCCTATAGTCCGAGCTACTTAAAAGGCTGAGATGGGCATACTTGTGCTCAAGAAGTCAAGCCTGCAGCAACCTGTGATTGCACCATTGCACTCCAGTGTGGTTAACAGAGCAAGACCCTGTCTCAGAAAAAAAAAAAAAGAAAAAAAGCTGGAAGACTGGGCTAAGTAGCGAGAAGGGTGTACAGTGATGCCCTTGACATTTCAGATAGATTTCACTTTACTTACTAGATCTAGTATGGTAGCTACTAGCCACAGGTGGCTATTTAACTAATTAAAACTTAAATTAGTTTAAATTAAATTTAAAAGCCACACTCGCTACATTTGAAATGCTTAGTAGCAGCCGGGTGTGGTGGCTTATGCCTGTAATCCCAGCACTTTGGGAGGCCAAGGCAGGCGGATCACCTGAGGTCAGGAGTTCAAAACCAGCCTGGCCAACGTGGTGAAACCCCATCTCTACTAAAAATACAAAAATTAGCCAGGCGTGGTGGCAGGTGCCTGTAATACCAGCTACTCAGGGAGGCTGAGGCACGAGAATCATTTAAGCCCAGGCGGCGGAGGTTGCAGTGAGCCGAGATCGCTCCATTGCACTCCAGCCTGGGCAACAGAGCAAGACTCCATCTCAAAAAAAGAAAAAAATGCTTAAGCGCCTGCTATACTGGACAGCACAGGCATAGAGCATAGAACCTCCATCCTCACAGGAGGTTCTATTGGATAACATGGGAAATATTTCATGCCTGGGCTCAGGCACCGCTGTGAGTTCATCCTGCAATGCTGTCATTCTATCTGGTGCCCCAGGGTGAAGGCCAAGAGAAGAGCTGACCCTGCAGCCCCAAACCCTGCATTCGGTCTCTAGCCTGCAGATTAACCTCTTAACCATGACAGCACTTGGCGTCCTGTCTTGGAAGATGCCTGTCACCGAGGGCACATTGTGATTGTGACTCCACTTCCTCTTTTCCAGTACACCGCAGTTCCAGACCTCTATTTTGAGAACGCCATGCGGTTTTTCAACTTCTCATGGAGGGTCACTGCCGACCAGCTCAGGAAAGCCCCCAACAGAGATCAGTGAGTTCCCCCAGGTCCTGCCGGAAAGGTGCCACCTCCCCACCTGTGGGCATACCCTGGGCCGAGCTGGCCTCCATTGCACCCTTACCGTGCACCCGATCAGCTATCACGAAAGCCATCTGAAGAGTGGAGGCCGTTGTTATCCCACTTTTCAGACTGAAACCAAGGGCAAAAGAAGTGTGGCCCCACTAGGTGCTGGGATGGGCTTGAGTCTGCCTAGCCTGTTGGCAGGGTGAGCCTGGCCTCTGGAGCTGAGCTGATCTGGCACCCTGTCCCCGCTCCACTGCTTAGAGATTTGGAGACTTCATGGCAAAACCCCATCTTCACTAAAAATACAAAAATTAGCTGGGCATGGTGGCATGCACCTGTAATCCCAGCTATTTAGGGAGGCTGAGGCACGAGAATCACTTAAACCCAGAACGTGGAGGTTGCAGTGAGCCGAGATTGTGCCATTGCCCTCCAGCCTTAGCGATAGAGCAAGACTCCGTCTGGAAAAAAAAAAAAAAAAAGAAAGAAAAAGAAATGCTTAGGCATTCATTATCCGAAGAATAGGATGGGAGGAGCTGGTTCTCGGGTCCTTATGGCAGTCAAATGTAAGGACCTCTGGGGATCGACAGACCCCAAGGAGGCCCCGGCAAGGGTGGCTTTCCCACATTTCCTCACTAGCACGAGTGGGGGGGGTCTCAGGACAGGGTGCCCACAAAGGCCTGGGGAAGGTTCTGGATGGGCCTCACAGCTGTGCTTCCCAAAGCTCACTGTGCATCAGAGTCCTCTGGGAATTTTTTTAAAGATACAGCTTCCTCATCAGGCACGGTGGTTCATGCCTGTAATCTCAGCACTTTGGGAGGCCAAGGCAGGTGGATCACTTGAGTCCAGGAGTTTGAAACCAGCCATGGTCAACATGGTGAAACTCCGTCTCTACTAAAAATACAAAAATTAGCTGGGTGTGGTGGTGCACACCTGTAGTCCCAGCTGCTGAGGCTGAGGCACAAGAATCGCTTGAATCTGGGAGGCGGAGGTTGCAGTGAGCCAAGATCGTGGCACTGCACTCCAGCCTGGGCGACAGAGCGAGATTCCATCTCAAAAAAAACAGCTTCCTGAACTTAAATCAGGATAACCTAGAATGAGACCTAGTGTGTGTCCTTTTTATTACTGCCTCCTCAGGCCAAGCACAATGGCTCATGCCCACACTCCCAGGACTTTGGGAGGCTGAGGTAGGCAGATCACTTGAGCCCAAGCCAGGCTGGGCAACATAGGGAGACCCGGTCTCTACAAAAAAAAGAAAATTTTTTTTTTTAATACGGGGTTGCACCATGTTGGTCAGGCTGGTCTTGAACTCCCGACCTCAGGTGATCCACCCACCTTGACCTCCAAAGTGCTTGGATTACAGGTGTGAGCCACCATGCACGGCCAAAAAAAATTTTTTTTAATTAGCTGGGCCTCGTGGCATGAACCTGTAGTCCCAGCTACTACAGCTACTGGGGAGGCTGAGGTGGGAGGATCACTTGAGCCAGGAGGTCAAGGCTGCAGTGAGCCAAGATCATGCCACTGTACTCCTGCCTGGGCAACAGAGTGAGACCCTGCCTCAAAAAAGAAAAAAAAACTTTGTCTCCTCAAAAAAATTAGATGTAGTCAGCCCAGTTCTAGTCTTCGGTCTAAGGTTGTTTCATTCCTTAGTGCAAACATTTGGGATAAATCTTAGGGAAGGGCGCAATCAACTTCTCTTTGCCTCTGGTGCCCCCTGGTGGAGTACAGGGGTTAAAAATCTATTTCCTTCATTTCCAGCCTCCAACCGGCACACACCCCCAATGCACAAGAAGGTGGGCTTTTACCTTCAGAACATGACATAGGCCCGTTGCCAATTTATCTGAAGTATTTTTAACTTAGCTTGAATTTTTTTAATTTAAATTTCCTCGCCTACCCATTGAAGTATGTGTGATTATTTGAATATAAATACGATGTTTTAAATTCTTCCATAGCGCTGGGTACAGCGGCTCATGCCTGTAATTCAAACACTTTGAGAGGCTTAGACAGGAAGATCTCCTGAGCCCAGGAGTTTGAGACCAGCATGGACAACATGGCAAAACCCTGTCTCTACAAAAAATTTTAAAAATCAGCCGGGCGTGGTAATGTGTGCTTAAGCCCAGGAGGTTGAGGCTGCAGTGAGCTGCACATGCATCCCTGCACTCCAGCCTGGGCTCCAGAGCAAGATGCTGTCCCTAAAATAAACATATACATAAATAAAGTTGTTGGCCAGGCATTGTGGCTCACACCTGTAATCCCAGGATTGAGAGGCTGAGGCAGGCAGATCACCTGAGGTCAGGACTTAAAGACCAATCTGGCCAACATGGTGAAACCCCGTCTCTACTAAAAATATAAAAATTAGCCAGGCATGATGGTACACACCTGTAATCCCAGCTACTTGGGAGGCTGACACAGGAGAATCACCTGAACCCAGGAGGCAGAGGTTGCGGTGAACAGAGATCGCACCACTGTACTCCAGCCTGGGCAACAGAGTGAAACTTCATCTCAAAATAAATAAAGTTCTCAAAATCTTCCCATGGCTGTGGGGCTCACCTGGAGGAGGCAGAGTGTCTCTTAGTGGAAATGTCATCTCCATCTCACCGCACTCCCTACTCACCCTTTCCCTCTGCACCAGAGAAGTCATTGAAATCCCAAATAGTCCATGACTATTCACCATTACTTTCAAAACCTTTTCTAGTCTCAGGATCCTTCTACACTCTTAAAAAAATTATTGGACCCACAAAATGTCATGGGTTATATTGATTTTTTTTTTTTTGACAGAGTCTTGCTCTGTCACCCATGGTGGAATGCAGTGGCTCAATCTCGACTCACTGCAACCTCTGCCTCCCAGGTTCCAGTGATTCTCCTGCCTCAACCTCCTGAGTAGCTGGGATTACAGGTCCCCACCACCATGCCCAGCTAATTTTTGTATTTTTAATAGGGACAGGGTTTCATCATGTTGGCTAGGCTGGTCTGAAACTCCTGACCTCAGGTGAGCCACCACACCAGGCCCTGATTTTTATTAAAATTTTTGGACAATAACTGTTTTCAAAAAATCAATGAAAAGAGGTATCATTTTACTTTTTGCAAATGTTTTGTATGTCTGACTTAAAGACAGCTGGATTCTCATATCTGATTCTGCAGTCAATCTGTTACCATATGTTGTTTTGATATATAGAAAGAATTCTTGCCTCACACAGGAATTTCATTGGGAAAGTGAGGGATATTTTAATAGTCTTTTCAGGTACTTGTGCATGTTATTCAGCTACTATACCAAAACTCAAAAAATGGTAATTTTTTAAAGGTTAATTGTAATATGGAATCTGAAACCACATCCAGGAACTTTTTTTTCTTTTTTTGAGACAGTCTCACTTTATCACCCAGGTGACCTCAGCTCACTGCAGCCTCAACCTTCCCAGGCTCAGGTGATTCTCCCACCTCAGCCTCCCAAAGTGCTAGGATTACAGGCATGAGCCACCATGGCCAGCCTTCATGAACTTTTCATGCTCCATTATACTAAAATCCATTGGTCTCTCTTGCACTTTGAATGGATCTTTTACCCAGGTGTGATTTTGTGACATCATGCATTAGTCATTTGGAAAACAATGGTTCACTGAGTTTTACAGATCTTCCAAATGGTGATACTTTCATTATGCAATATCAGAAAAAAATTCACATTTGTTAATATCACTGCTGACCTCATGAGAAAAGCCTTTAATTGTTATTGGTAAACTGTCAAATTTGTGGTAACCAATATAAGTTACAGGCGTGAGCCACTGCCGCTGGTCATAATTATTAATTTCATCACATCTCGATCCCTAAATACAAGTTTTTCAGAACTTTAATTTTTGCCTGAAAAATCCAACATTTAAAAAAATCTCATATTTTTATCATTGGCAACAGACGGCATGATTGTTTTCCTTGAGGTGATAAACTCACTTTATTTATTTTAAAGAAAACATCTGCCAGATATCCAAGTCTGAAATTCTATAGTTTGCCAGTCAGCCTAAAAGTACCATCAGGGTTTCATGAAAAAAGCAGAATGCTTTATATGTGGATTTCCCACTGGTCACATGGAGTATTAAAAAGTCTTCTACCAGGTGCAGTGGCTCATACCTGCAATCCCAGCAGTTCAGGAGGCTGAGGTGGGAGGATCACCCAATGAGCCCAGGAGTTCAAAACCAGCCTGGGAAACACAGCAAGACTCCACCTCTATAACAATATTTTTAAAAAAAACAGGCGCGGTGGCTCAGGCCTGTAATCACAGCACTTTGGGAGGCCGAGGCGGGCGCGGATCATGAGGTCAGGAGTTTGAGACCAGCCTGGCCAATATGGTGAAACACCATCTCTACTAAAAATACAAAAAATTAGCTGGGCGTGGTGGCGCATGCCTGTAATCCCAGCTACTCTGGTGGCTGACACAGAAGAATCGCTTGAACCCAGGAGGCGGAGGTTGCAGTGAGCCGAGATCACACCACTGCACTCCAGCCTGGGCTACAGAGCGAGACACTGTCTCAAAAAAAAGAAAAAAAAATATCAGCCAGGAATGGTCACAAGTGCCTGTAGTCCCAGCTACTTGAGAGCCTAAGGTGGGAGAATAGCTTGAGCCCAGGAGTTTGAGGCTGTAGTTGATCATGCCACTGCACTCGAGCCTGGGTGACAGAACGAGACGTTGTCTCTTAAAAAAAAAAAAAAGAAGTATTGTATTCAGGGGTCGAGATGTAATGAAATTAATAATTATGACCGGGGCAGTGGCTCACACCTAGAATCCCAGCACTTTGGGAGGCCAAGGCGGACAGGTCACTTGAGGCCAGGAGTTCAAGACCAGCCTGGCCAACATGACGAAATTCTGTCTCTGCTAAAAATATAAAATATTAGCCATGTGTGATGGCACATACCTGTAATCCCAGCTACTCAGGTGGCTAAGGCAGGAGAATCACTTGAACTTGGGAGGTGTGGGTTACAGTGAGCCGAGATCACACCACTGCACTCTAGCCTGGGCAACACGGTGAGACTCTGCCTCAAAATAAATAAGTAAATAAATAAGCTACTTCATCAAAGATGTTATAAGTGAAGATGCTAGTGAGGAACTCCGGGCTCAGCGACCACTCCAGCTGCCCTGGATCATGTCAGGCTCCAGCAGTTTTAGCCACTGTTGCTTTTGCATCATCCATGCAAGGGACACAATGGAAAAGGGAAATCACATCTTAATATTATTATGAAAATAGTTTTGATTTCGGCTGGGCATGGTGGGCTCACTCCTGTGATCCCAGCACTTTGGGAGGCTGAGGTAAGCAGATCACCTGAGTTCAAAACCAGCCTGGCCAACATGGTGAAACCCCATCTCTAGTAAAAATACAAAAATTAGCCAGAGGTGGTGGCGGGCACCTGTAATCCCAGCTACTTGGGAGGCTGAGGCAGGAGAATCACTTGAACCCAGGAGGCAGAGGTTGCAATGAGCCGAGGTCACGCCACTGCTTACTCTAGCCTGGGTGTCAAGAGTCCCGTCTCAAATAAATAAAATAGTTTCAATTTTATGGATCTTGAGGACCCTCCCACCCAGATGTCAACAGACCACACTTTGAGAACTGCTAATAGATACTGTTCAAGCCTTGACAATGGGTAACTTTTCAAAATCTTTTTCTCTTCTTTTCCTTTTTCTTTTTTCTTTTTTTTTTTTTTTTTTTGAGACAGAGTCTTGCTCTGTTGCCCAGGTTGGAGTGCAATGGCATAATCTCAGCTCACTACAACCTCTGGCTCCTGAGTTTAAGCAATTCTCATGTCTTAGCCACCCGAGTAGCTGGGATTACAGGTATGGGCCACCACGCTTAGCTAATTTTTTTTGTATTTTTAGTAGAGACAGGGTTTTGCCATGTTGGCCAAGCCGGTCTTGAACTCCTGGCCTCAAGTGATCTGCTCACCTCAGCCTCCCAAAGTGCTGGGATTACAAGCATGAGCCACTGCTCACTGATGCTTCAAAATCTAATAGTCCTTCCTGCTCTTTTTAAGAGCCTCAGTATTCCACTGTGTGATATGACATCATTAATTAACTGATTCCTTATTTGTAGACAGTCAGGTGTTTTCTAGTTTTCTCCTAAAAAACAGTTCTTTACCCAGGCACAGTGGCTCATGCCTGTAATCCCAGCACTTTGGGAGTCCAAGACAGGAGGGTGGCCTGAGCCTCCGAAGTCGAAGCTGCAGTGAGCCATGATCACACCACTGCACTCCAGCCTAGACGGCAGAGGGAGCGCCTGTCTCAAAACAGTCAGTCCTTCTGTAGATGTCCTTGTACTTGTGTGCACTTGGGCCCGGGTTGAGGGAGAGTCCTCACTTTTAAACACCCTTGATTCCAATTCCCAAGCTGCCCTCTAGGCATGCTGCCTCCACCTGCCCCCCACCCTGTGCTGAGGCCTCCCAAATGCCTGTTGCTTGCAGGTGGAGCATGACCCCGCCCATGGTGAACGCCTACTACTCGCCCACCAAGAATGAGATCGTGTTTCCGGCCGGGATCCTGCAGGCACCATTCTACACCCGCTCCTCACCCAAGTAGGCTGCCTCTGCTGCTCCTATCCCAACTCTTTCCCCAGCCCTCAGTGGACTCCCAGCCCAGCTAAGCCCTGTGGCCCATACGATCAAGCCAATCTCACCATGTGATCTTTTCCCCAGTGGTCTGGGTGGCTTGGGATGTCAGAGATGTTGCAGAGGAAGCAACATCCTCACCCACTTTCCTTCCCTCCAGGGGTCTCTGAGATCTGGAAGCCCTGCACAGTGGGTTATTGGGAGCGTCTCATGGAATCAAGAGCCCTACATGAGGGAAACGCCCCTGTGACAATGTTCTGACACAGTCAGAGCCAGGGAGTGGGGAGGGTTAGGGCTGCTGGCTCAGTTTGAATTCCACCTCTGCTATTTGATGATTGTGTGGCCCTTGGCAAAGCAATTGACCCATTCCCAGCCTTGATTTACTCATGAATAGAGCTGGTCAGTGATGACCATTGCTAACTCTTTTGGAAAGACCGAAGAGGACAGTTCAGTCTGTAGAGCATCTAGCACAGTGCGTGGCGCCCAGTGGGCACAGCTGACCACACAGACTCTGCTTAGCCTCTGTCTGGCTTCCGGGGCCTTGCTGGAGACTCAGGCCGTGACCACACCCCTATCCACACAGAGCCCTGTGGAATTTTGTTATGTGTCCAAGCCCAGGAAGTGAAGGTCACATACCTGGGCAAGAGTGAGAGGCCTTCCTCTCAAAGCATCACCTTCTCCTTTGTGTCCTTCCCTCCAGGGCCTTAAACTTTGGTGGCATCGGTGTCGTCGTGGGCCACGAGCTGACTCATGCTTTTGATGATCAAGGTACGGGTTCTACCTGGGCATGATGGCTCATGCCTGTTATCTCAGGGCTTTACGAGGAGGATTGCTTGAGGCCAGGAGTTGGAGACCAGCCTGGGCAACATAGCAAGACCTCCATCTCTACTAAAAAAAAAATTAGGTCAGGCATGGTGGCTCACACCTGTAATCCCAGCACTGTGGGAGGCCAAGGCAGGTGGATCACCTGAGGTCAGGAGTTCAAGACCAGTCTGGCCAACACGGCGAAACTCTGTCTCTACTAAAAATACAAAAATTACCAGGCATGGAGGCAGGTGCCTATAATCCCAGCTACTCAGGAGGCTAAGACACAATTGTTTGAATCTGGGAGGCGGAGGTTGCAGTGAGCTGAGATTGCACCACTGCACTCCAGCCTGGGTGACAGAGTGAGACTCCATCTCAAAAAATAAAATAAAATTTATCTACTAAGAAAGTAAGAATTTAGCCAGGGGTGGTGGCAAAATTTAAATAGTCCTAGCTACTCGGGAGGCGGAGGTGGGAGGCTCACTTGAGCCCAGGAGTTTGAGGCTACAGTGAACTATGATTATGATTCTACCACTGACTGGCACAGGTTCCTTGGTCCCCTTCAGACTGGGCCAATCATCTGCCGGGCCCCACTGCCTCTGCTTTCTGCACCCTTCACTTCTAAGGGTCTTAGCTTTGGGCCAGGTGTGGTGGCTGATGCCTGTAATCCCAGCACTTTGAGAGGCTGAGGCGGGCAGATCACCTGAGGCCAAGAGTTCAAGACCAACCTGACCAACATGGAGAAACCTTGTCTCTACTAAAAATACAAAAATTGGCTGGGTATGGTGGTGCATACCTGTAATCCCAGCTACTCAGGAGGCTGAGGTAGGAGAATTGCCTGAACCCGGGAGTTGGAGGTTGCGGTGAGCTGAGATCGTGCCACAGCACTCCAGCCTGGGTAACAAGAGTGAAACTCTGTCTCAAGAAAAAAAAAGGAGCATGATGGCTCCACCCTCCTGTGTTGACTAGGAGGATTGTGTGATACGTGGTGAAGCTCCCTGCCTTCGGAAGTTGTCTAGCACTAGGGGTCCTATTAGGTTTAACAGGGAGTGCCCATTTCTCCACTGCTCCAGAGACTTTTCCAGTCCAACTGCAGTGAGGGCAGTTGAAGTCAGTCCCTCCTCCTCAACTAATGTCCAAAATCGTCCTCATTGCCTCCTGCCTTGGGGCCTCCCAGGCAGAGATGGAAGAGGCAGAGACGCGTGGCCTGGGCCTGTCTTGTGATCCTAGGTCAGCCGGCTCCATCTGCCTCTTCCTAGGCATCTGTTACTCAGGGTCAGGGGCCCTCAGCCAGTGTTGAAGACAGGCCTGTAATCCCAGCACTTTGGGAGGCAGGCAGACCACTTGAGGTCAGGAGTTTGAGACCAGCCTAGCCAACATGATAAGACCCTGCCTCTACTAAAAAAAAAAAAAAAAAAAAAAATTAGCCAGGTGTGGTGCCGTGTACCTGTAATCCCAGCTACCCTGGAGGCTGAGGGATGAGAATCACTTAAACCCAGGAGGCAGAGATTACAGTGAGCCGAGATTGCACCACTGCACTCCAGTCTGGGTGACAAAGTGAGACTGTCTCAAAAAAAAAAAAAAAAGAAGAAGAAGAAAAAAACAAACCAAGCCCTGCTGAGCATTGGGCCACACTGGGGCTTTCCCTGGATCCCCCTCCTCCATCCTCTCCTGCCTCTGACCAGCCACCCCATCTACGTCCCTCGGTACTCACAGAGACCTCTCCCAGTGCTGGCTGGAGGATGAGGGTGGACCGTGAACCGCTTCTCACCAGGAGTGGGGAGGAGCAGCAGGTCCCCGCTCTGCCACTCCCTCCCTTGACACGATGCCTCCCTCTGACCCACAGGACGGGAGTATGACAAGGACGGGAACCTCCGGCCGTGGTGGAAGAACTCATCAGTGGAGGCCTTCAAGCGTCAGACCGAGTGCATGGTGGAGCAGTACAGCAACTACAGCGTGAACGGGGAGCCGGTGAACGGGCGGCACACCCTGGGGGAGAACATCGCTGACAACGGGGGCCTCAAGGCGGCCTATCGGGTGAGAGCCCTTCTCCCCACACATGCCCAGGCCCGGGCCTGGCTCCATCCAGAGGCCTGTCCGTAGAGGATCGTCACGGACAGCTGGGGCCAGCGCGGCAGCCCTGCCCACTTCCATTTCCTCTTCCGCGAAAGGGGTGGTGGTGAGGACCAATTGAGAGGCTGACCGTGGAGGCCTCGGTCACAGCACTTGGTACCAGAAGGCTTTGTGCTCTGAGTCTGGCCCGACAGAGATACAGGAAGGGGCTCAGGCTGGACTCACCTGAAGAGCCTGCCTGTTCCCACCTTTGCAGGGGAAGCCACCACCAAGTCAGTCGGCAGTGGGTCTGGGAGGCTCCTGGGGACCAAGCAGCCAGGGCAAGGAACACTGGTCATGGGGCCAGTTCTGGGTTCAAGTCCTGGCCCTGGAGGAAGTCACTGAACCTCCTTGAGCCTAATTTAACTTGGCTGTGAGTAGCTACCACCTGCGTTATCGGGTTGTTGGGAAGATAAGACGACTTAGACACAGCCTGACCCAGAGAGGCACTCAGAGATGTTCGCCGAGACAGCTGTGAGAGGTAACAGGCCACGAGAGAAAACAGCATGCATCTGTCAGAGAGATTCAGACAGGACTTCCTCCCAACCATGGCGATAAGAGCGGAAATCCATAGAGCCGTCATTTATTGAAGCCTTATTAAGTGCCAGGCTTGGAGTATTCCCAGCAGCTTTATAATTAGGTATGATAATCCCCATTTTGCAGATAAGCAAACTGAGCCCAGAAACACGATAGGTTGCTTAAAGTCCACAAGTCAGTGACAATGTATTGAGAATCTTCTACCCAGCAGGGCTGTGTTTGAAGCTCATCCAGCTCTCAACAAGCCTACACTCTTAGTGGCAGCTAGAAGGAGAAGAGAGGCAAATAAATACATAATACATCTGTAAGATAATGTCAGCTATTGGTAAGGTGATAAATATAAACTAGGGCTCAGTATTAAGGAATAATGGGGGGACACTGGCCACAGCAGGCCTTCTGGGAGGTATGACATTTGCGTTGAGACCTAAATGATGAGGAAGAGCCTGGGAAAAGCTGGGGACATGGTCTCAGCAAAAGGAAAAGCAAGTACAGAGGCCACTAAGTAGACACAAGCCTGGCATGTCCAAGGATGGGAAGAAGGGCGGGGCAGAGTGGAGGGAATGCAGGGACCAGAGCACTCCAGGCCTCTGTCGGCTGAGGAGGGGGCTTGGGTTTTACTCTGGTTATGATAGACACAATAGAGTTTTTAAATAGAGGAATGACGTGATTCAACTCATCCTTTAAAACAGGGGTCGGCCGTGCATGGTGGCTCACGCCTGTAATCCCAACACTTTGGGAGGCAGAAGTGGGCGGATCACTTAAGGCCAGGAGTTCAAGTCTAGACTGGCCAACATGGTGAAACCTCGTCTCTAGTAAAAATATAAAAATCAGCTACTTGGGAGGTTGAGGCACGAGAATCGCGTGAACCCAGGAAGCAGAGGTTGCAGTAAGCCGAGATTGCCACTGCACTTCAGCCTGGGTGACAGGGCAAGACTGTGTCTCAAATACATAAATAAAAATAAAACAAGAGTTGGCTGGGTGCCAGCCACACCAGTAATCCCAGCACTTTGGGAGGCCGAGGTAGGTGGATCACTTGAGCTTGACTTCAAGACCAGCCTGGGCAACACAGTAAAACCTCGTCTCTACCAAAAATACAAAAACATTAGCTGAGCAGGGTGGCCCACATCTGTGGTCCCAGTCACTCAGGCGGCTGAGGTGAGAGGATCGCCTGAGCCTGGGAGGTGGAGGTTGCAGAGAGCCGAGACTGTGTCAGTGCACTCCAGCCTGGGTGACAGAGTGAGACCCTGTCTCCAAAAAAAAAAAAAACAAAAAAAAACGAGGAGTCACTACAGCCCATGGGCCAAATCTAGCTGTGAGCCTGTTTTTGTAAGTGAAGTTTCTTGGGGTCACAGCTGGCTCCATTTGTTTCTATGTCTGTGGTGGCTGCTTTTCTTTTCTTTTCTTTCTTTCTTTTTTATTTTTGAGACAGGGTATCACTCTGTTGCCCAGGCTGGAGTGCAGTGGGGATATCTCAGCTCACTGCACCCTCCGCCTCCTGAGTTCAAGTGATTCTCTTGCCTCAGCCTCCCAAGTAGCTGGGATTACAGGCAGGCATGTACTACCACACCCAGCTAACTTTTGTGTTTTTAGTAGAGACAGGATTTCACCATATTGGCCAGGCTGGTCTCAAACTCCTGCCCTCAGGTGATGTGCCCGACTCAGTCTCCCAAAGTGCTAGGATTACAGGCGTGAGCCACTGCACCTGGCCATGTGGCTGCTTTCATGCTGCAGTAGCAGAATTGAATCCTTGCAACGATGACTGGTAGCCCACAAAGCCCAATGCACTCACCCTCTGGCCCTCCACAGAAAAGGTTTGCCGGCACCTGCCTCCTGAGGTTCACTGAAGTTGCTTTGCCAGGCGGGGTATGGAATTGAATCAGCCTAAGTCAGAAGACTGATTGGAAATCTGTTGTGAGGCTGTCAAGGCAAGAGACGGGGTAGACCAATGCGAAAGGGGAGCAGTGGTCAGTGTTTGGTCTGAGAAAAAGAGAAGAATTGAAGCAGCATTCTGGGTTTGGGCCCTGGGACAATGGATGGTGGTACCATTGACTATGATGGGGAATGTGTGTGTGTGTGTGTGTCTGTGTGTGTGTGTGTCTGTGTATGTCTGTATGTGTCTGTGTGTGTGTGTGTCTCTGTGTGTGCATCTCTGTGTGTGCATCTGTGTGTGTGTCTGTGTGTCTGTGTGTGCATCTGTGTGTGTCTGTGTGTGTGCAACTGTGTGTGTCTGTGTGTGCATCTGTGTGTGTGTGTCTATGTGAATCTGTGTGTGTGTCTGTGTGTGTATCTGTATGTGTCTCTGTGTGTATGTCTGTGTGTCTCTGTGTGTCTCTGTATCTGTGTGTGTGTGTTTGTGTCTGTGTGTATGTCTGTGTCTGTGTGTATGTCTGTCTGTGTCTGTATGTGTGTATCTGTATGTGTCTCCGTGTGTGTGTCTGTGTGTGTATCTGTATGTGTCTCTGTGTATGTGTGTGTCTCTGTGTGTGTGTCTCTGTCTGTGTGTATGTGTGTCTGTGTGTGTGTCTGTGTGTGTCTGTSTGTGTGTGTCTGTRTSTGTGTSTGTMTSTGTGTRTRTCTGTGTCTGTGTRTRTCTGTGTCTGTGTGTCTCTGTGTGTGTGTATCTGTATGTGTCTGTGTGTGTGTCTGTGTGTGTGTGTGTCTGTATCTGTGTGTGTCTGTGTGTATGTCTGTGTCTGTGTGTGTATGTTTGTGTATGTGTGTGTGTATGTGTGTGGGTCCTGTCGTTCTATTTGTGCCATGCTAAGTTTGAGCTGCATCTTGGCTGTCCAGCTGGCACAGTTGAATATACACCTCAGGGAAGAGGCTGGAGCTGAAGGTATAAATGTGAGAGCCATCAGTGCACAGAAGGTATTTGAAGCCATAGGGCTGAATGAGTGCAGATCAAGAAGAGGGCTTCCCTAGGCTGAGCCCAGGCCCAGATCTCCAGAAACTGATCCCTGTCCCAACATGGGGGAGCTCCCTGAGACCTCCATACCTGTCCCCTCCTTCACCACCTGCCATGGGAACCCTGAGCTTTGGTGTTCTCTCCTCCCAGGCCTACCAGAACTGGGTGAAGAAGAACGGGGCTGAGCAGACGCTGCCCACCCTGGGCCTCACCAATAACCAGCTCTTCTTCCTGGGCTTTGCACAGGTGAGTCCATTAGGAAACCATGCCACACATGGTACATGCTGCCATCTCGATGTTTCAAGAGCCCAGACAGCCAAAAGGCAAGTTCCTCACAGATTGAGAACGTCCTAACTTATTGGACTGTGCACAGTGTATCTGCCCTGTCATTAGAGGGATGCACAGAAGGGCCAGGAGTACTAATGAGGGGATTCCTGGATCTGGTGAATGAGAGGTTGAGGTGACCACTCAGGGCTCTTCTGGCTCGAGGGTTCTAGAGATTTCTTTTTTTTCTTTTTTTTTTTTTTTGAGATGGAGTTTCACTCTTGTTGCCCAGGCTGGAGTACAACGGCGTGGTCTCAGCTCACTGCAACCTCCGCCTTCTGGGTTCAAGCGATTCTCCTGTCTCAGCCTCCTGAGTAGCTGGGATTACAGGCACCCACCACCACCCCTGGCTAATTTTTGTATTTTTAGTAGAGACAGGGTTTCACCATGTTGGCCAGGCTGGTCTCAAACTCCTGACCTCAGGTGATCTGCCCACCTCAGCCTCCCAAAGTGCTGGGATTACAAGCGTGAGCCACTGTGCCTGGCAGAGATTTCTTAAACTTAAGATGCCTGGCCAGGCACAGTGGCTCACACCTGTAATCCCAGCACTTTGGGCAGCCAGGACAAGCAGATCACCCGAGGTTAGGAGTTCGAGACCAGCCTGGTCAACATAGCGAAACCCTGTCTCTATGAAAAAATACAAAAAAAATAGCCAGGTGTGGTGGTGGCCGCCTGTAGTCCCAGCTACTCAGGAGGCTGAGGCACGAGAATCACTTGAACCCAGAAGTAGAGGTTGCAGTGAACCAAGATCATGCTACTACACTCCAGCCTGGGAGACATAGCAAGATTCTGTCTCAGAAAAATAAAAAAAACGATGCCCCAGGTCATCCCGTCAGTTGGCATTCAGCTGGTAGCCTTCTCCTGGCACTCAGAGCTACCAGGCCATTAGACAATTTGTTCTGCCCAGGAAATGAGATATCTGGACTAAATCCAGGCTTTTCCAACTGGTGTTTGGACACAGTCCTTTGTTCAGATGGAATCAAATGCAGGTGCCTCAGAGATGCTGCACTGGCCAGAGGAGAACAGTTTGGAGACAGCTGTGTTAGAGGCCGTGGGCATGGGGGTGGCACATGCCCACCCTACACAGCCCACTCTCTCTTCCCAAGCCACTCAGGGAGTCCTCCTGACTCCCTGGGATCTCAGGATCAGGTGGAGGCTCATTCCCCTGCTATTGTATTTTCTGGTTTTTGTTTTCTTGGAGACAGATTCTCCCTCTGTCACCCGGGCTGGAGTGCAATGGCTTGATCTTGGCTCGCTGCAACCCCCGTGTCCTGGGTTCAAGCAATTCTCCTGCCTCAGCCTCCCTGGTAGCTGGGATTATAGGCACGCACCACCACGCCCAACTAATTTTTGTATTTTTAGCAGAGATGGGTTTTGCCATGTTGGCCAGGCTGGTCTCAAACACCTGGTCACAAACAATCCACCTGCCTTTGCCTGCCAAAGTGCTGGGATTACAGGCATGTGCCACCATGCCCAGCCTTGTCTTGTTTTTTGAGACAGGATCCCACTCTGTCACCGAGGCTGGAATGCAGTGGCGCAGTCTCAGCTCACTGCAGCCTCGACTTCCCCAATGCAGTGATCCTCCCACCTCAGCCTCTCCAGGAACTGGGACCATAGGCACGCACCACCACACCTAGTTAATGGATATTTTAAAAATGTTTTGTAGAGATGGGGTCTTGCCATGTCCCCCAAGGTGTTCATGAACTCCTGGGCTCAAGAAGCCCTCCCACCTTGGCTCCCAAAGTGCTGGGATTACAGGTGTGAGCCACTGCACCTGGCCTCCCCGCTATTGTAATCGGGGTGATGTGGCAGCCCCAGGGCCCCGCAGTGACCCTGACCTCTCCCTGTTGCCCTTCAAAGGTCTGGTGCTCCGTCCGCACACCCGAGAGCTCCCACGAAGGCCTCATCACCGATCCCCACAGCCCCTCTCGCTTCCGGGTCATCGGCTCCCTCTCCAATTCCAAGGAGTTCTCAGAACACTTCCGCTGCCCATCTGGCTCACCCATGAACCCTCCTCACAAATGCGAAGTCTGGTAAGGATGGAGCGGAGACAGCCAAGATGGAGGGGCTGAGGATGAGCCCCCGTCCAGCCTCCAGGGCATTACTCAGCCCGCTTGGCCACCCAGGGCCCCGCTTCCCCGCACTGGAGGGTTTTCAGCCAGAATGGAGCCCGTAGTGTTGGCTCTCAACAAAACCCTCGATCTGATCCCCTTTGAAGACATGGACATCCCAGGCACACACGTGCGCCACCTTCAGCGGGCATTCGGGTGTCAGGCTGGTGGCTCATCAGGCCTGGGCCCCATGCTAACAAGCGCCAGATACACCACAAATACCACTGTGTCAAATGCTTTCAAGATATATTTTTGGGGAAACTATTTTTTAAACATTGCGGAATACACTGGAAATCTTCAGGGAAAAATGCATTTAAAACACTTTTTTTTTTAAAGGAAAGAATTGGTATATTTATTATGTTCTGTTTTTCTAAATAACCTGTGGACAAGGGAAACCCCGCTGACTTACTCCCCCTCTTCCCCACTCACTGTGAGGCTGGGCTGAGGCAGGGAGCCTTGGGCCACAGAGCAAGTCTCCGAATCGGAGAGCTGCCTCAGCCCTTGGGATGTGTGACTTCAGCTCCTGTCACCTCATGCGGAGGCGTGGAGACCAGTAGAAGTGTGGAGGCCAGGCAGAGGGAAGAGCCAGCTCTGGGGGCCCAGCTCGTGGGCACTGCCCCTTCAGCTAGCCTGCCCCTGTCCCGACTCCAGCAGTGGGAGCCCTAGCAGGGAAGTTCTGATCCCCAAAGCCACAGCAGGGGACTGATGGCTATGGCAGAATGAGGCCAGGTCAGGACCCTCAAAAACCACCTGGGAGCACCAAGCACCCTGAATCCAGACTGCAGGAGTCCTGCGGGGTGAGACTCCCTCGGAGTTACACTGCTGGCCACAGGTGTCTCCCTCTTGGCCCCACATTTTCGGGCTCCCATGTCCATCTCAGGGGCCAGTTACCTCTCTGCAGCAGTCCCCCAGCCCAGCCACGCCAGAGTCTATCTGGCCAACCCTCTTCTCCAGAGAAAGGAGAAAAGAGAAAACAGACCAGATGTGGTGGTTCACTCCTGTAATCTCAGCACTTTGAGAGGCTGAGACAGGTAGATCACTTGAGGTCAGGAGTTTGAGACCAGCCTGGCCAATGTGGTGAAATGCCATCTCTGCTAAAAATACAAAAAAAAAAAAGGAATGGTGGTGGGCACCTGTAATTCCAGCTACTCAGGAGGCTGAGGCAAGAGAATTGCTTGAACTCAGGAGGCAGAGGTTGCAGTGAGCTGAGATTGTGCCACTGCACTCCAGCCTGGGCAACAGAGTGAGAGTCCGTCTCAAAAAAAAAAGAAAAAAGAAAACAGCTCTCACCTCCCGCGGGACCTAAATCTTCCCTCTGAACACCATCATCCATCACATGGCTGGGCCTGGCTCCTGGGACCGGTCCTCTAGTGCCTTATCTGAGGCTGCAGCCCCCAGTCTCCACCCCCAGGAGGCAGCCCCAGCCCCTAGATGCCCCTTGGCTCCTCAGTGCAGCCCCCAGGTGTCCTGATGGAAACATAGGCCGTAGTCCCATTCCCCCAGTGCCTGCAGGGCTGCCCCCCACGGCTGCCCATGAGCTCTGGCCTGCAGGTCCGTAACACCGGGCTTCGGGAGGCTGTGGAACCGCTGGACTCATCCTGGGCTGCCATCCATATCCATCCCTGGGTTGAGTCAAGACATTGCTTGTAGCTAGATGGATGGACTCTCCTTTGAGCGATGCTTTTAGCCAGGGGATGTTGTAAGGGGAAGTTTCCTCAACCCGCTCTGGCCTATGGTGTCTGTCCCCTCCCTGCGACACAGCTTCTCCAACAGCAGATTCATGGGCTCCACCAAGTGGAAGCACCTGGAGCGGCCACTGCTGTCCAGTGGGAAAGCCAGGCCGCGGGACAGAGGCAAGGCGGTACATGCCCTCCACAGCTGAGGTTTTCCCACCTCAGCAGCCCAGGCCCCCTGGCCCAGCCCTGCCTGGACAGTGCCCTCCCCTCACCTGAGAAGCTGGAATCCTCCTGCCCAAGAGGAAGCAGAGAGCACAGGGACAGCCCTGCCACCTTGGGGTCAGCCTCCAAGTTGGTGCAGGGTGTCGAGAGTGGATTCCAGATGGAGGCCCTGGTCCCAGCAAGTGGCAGTCCCGGTAGCTTTGCAGAGGAGACAGGAACCCTAGAAGGAGCTGGAGCAGGAGCAGGAGCTGGCTGCTGTGTCCTTGCCACATGGAGGCGGGCTTCTTCCACCCATGGCGTCCTCTGCCTCCCCGCCACAAGCCCTCCTGCCTTCCACATGGAGGGAGAAGGTCCTGCAGCATCAGCACCGTGGGCTTGGAGTCCCTGGACAGAGGCAGGTGTCCCAGGGCTGGGAGTGCAACCTGAGGGGATGGAGACTGCACTCATGGCCCAGGTCTGCTGCGGCTGGCAGGGGGCGAGGAGAGAAGAGGGCTCAGGCCCAGCAGGGATGGATGCCCCGCCACTGCCACTACCCACTCCAGAGCTTTAAGGAAGATAAAGTGAGACCCCTCCCCTTAGGCCAGCTTCTCTGTGGGTGCGTGGACATGGGGTTGGGAGCTGGGAATCTATTTTTTGTATTATGATGTTTTGTGCTACTGTAGTTTTGGTGTGGCACTATTGTAATTGAAATAAAATACTTGTACAGAGGGCCATGTGTCTGGGTATCTGTCCTCCCAGGGTGCTGTATGTCCTGTGAGGCTGGCACAGGGTTGCCCACCCTAGCCTCTTCAGGGCTGGGTGCACCTGCCCCCAAGAGCAGGAACCTTGGACCCTGACAAACGCCAGATTACTCAGTACCTGTGCCCTGGCCACCCTTCCTTCACGCACGATTGTGTGAGCACCCCCTGCTGGTGAGAATAATGCACATCACCACCTGGGTCCAAGAGGCCTCCTGGTAAAAATAATTTCTCTGTTATCTTCGAGCAAGGGAGTTTCCAGGTCTCAGATGCTTGGGCAGGGAAGGCAGTAGGGAAAGTCAAAGAAAGGTTCAGGGAGGGCCGGGTGTGGTGACTCACGCCTGTAATCCCAGCATTTTGGGAGGCCGAGGCACATGGATCACCTGAGGTCAGCAGTTTGAGACCAGCCTAACCAACGTGGTAAAACCCTGGCTCTACTAAAAATACGAAAATTAGCCAGGTGTGATGGTGCACACCTGTAATCCCAGCTACTCGGGAGGCTGAAATGGGGGAATCACTTGAACCTGGGATGCGGAGGTTGCAGTCTGCTGAGATCGCACCACTGGACTCCAGCCTGGGTGACAGGGTGAGAATCCATCTCAAAAAAAAAAAAAAAGAAAGAAAGAAAAAGCAGGGCACGTTTGCTTACGCCTGTAATCCCAGCACTTTGGGAGGCTGAGACAGGTGGATAACTTGAAATCAGGAGTTTGAGACCAGCCTGGCCAACATGGTGAAACCCCATCTCTACTAAAAATACAAAAATTAGCTGGTCTTGGTGGTGCACTCCTGTAGTCCCAGCTACTCAGGAGGCTGAGGCAGAAGAATCGCTTGAATCTGGGAGGCGGAGGTTGCAGTGAGCCAAGATCATGCCACTGTACTTCAGCCTAGGTCACAGAGCAAGATTCTGTCTCAAAAAAAAGAAAGAAGAATTCAAGGAAGAGTCCCTGATGTACACTGTGCCTCCTGGGGTTAGCATATGTCCTTTGCTCTGCCTGTAATGTTCTTGCCTGATACACTCCTACCCAGCCATGAAAGCCCAGCTAAGCATCTCCTCCTCTAGGAAGCCCTTCCTACCCTCCCAGTCAGTATCAGGAAACACACAGGCTTCCTTCTCCTATCAGAGTGTATGAGTTTGCTACGGCCACCCTAACAAAGTACCACAGACTTGGAGGCTTGCACAACAGGAATGTGTGGTCTCAGTTCTGGAGGCTCCAAGTCCAAGATGAAGGTGTTGGCAACACTGACTCCTGAGGACTGTGAGGAAGACTCAGTTCAGGCTCTCCTGGCTTCTGGCAACCTTTGGTGCTCCTTGGCTTGTAAAAGTAACAGCCGACCTCTGCCTTCATCTTCATGTGACGTTCTCCCTGCGTGCATGTCCATCTCTGTCCAAATGTCCCCCTTTTATGAAGACACCAGTCACACTGGATTAGGGCCAACCCTGATGACCTCATTTTAGCTAATTACATCAGCAATGACCATAATTTCAATTTTTTTTTTTTTTTTAAAAAAAATCTCGTTCTGTAGCCCAGGCTGGAGTACAGTGGTGCAGCCTCGGCTCACTGCAACCTCCACCTCCTGGGTCCTGGTTCAAGCAATTCTCCTACCTCAGCCTCCCAAGTAGCTGGGATTACAGGCACAAGCCATCACGCCCAGCTAATTTTTTGTGTTTTTTAGTAGAGATGGAATTTCACCATGTTTGCCAGTCTGGTCTTGAACTCATGACCTCACAATCTGCCCACCTTGGCCTCCCAAAGTGCTGGGATTACAGGCGTGAGCTACCGTGCCCATCTCAATTTTTTTTTAGACAGTCTCACTCTGTCCTCAAGTGATCCACGCACCTCTGCCTCCCAAAGTGCTGGGATTACAGGCATGAGCCACCACACCCTGTCCCTATTTTCAAATAAGTTCACACTCTGGGATGCTGGGGTTTAGGACTTCAAGACATGAATTTGGAGGGGGAAGACAATTCAACCCATGACACAGAGGTCCCAATTCTCTGGGCTGTGGAGGTGCCAGCACCATCTCCAGTGGCCCAGTGCCTGGCTGGGGACCAAGCACATAGCAGGGCATGGTGACCGTTGGCTACATGGGCAGGAGACTGAAGGACGCTGGAGGGTAGATGGCCGTCAGCAATGTGTAACTCAAGGGACCACCCCACAATGTACCAGTGCCTAGCCTGATGGGCTAGGGTAACCAGAGAAGACTTCCTGGAGAGGAGAAATTTCAGCCAAGCCTTAACCCGGGATTCACATCCCATGGTACCCATGGTAGACAGAATGACAGTCTGAACGGGCACCCGTGCCAGGGACAAAACTCACCCAGACTCTGCTCCTGCCTTGCTTTAAAAGGAGGGAGTCAGCCAGGTGCAGTGGCTCACGCCTGTAATCCTAGCACTTTGGGAAGCCAAGGTGGGCAGATTACCTGAAGTCAGGAGTTTAAAACCAGCCTGGCCAACATGGTGGAACTCTGTCTCTACTAAAAATACGAAAATTAGCTGGGCATGGTGGTGCATACCTGTAATCCCAGCTACTCAGGAGGCTGAGACGGGAGAATTGCTTGAACCCGGGAAGTGGAGGTTGCAGTGAGCCAAGATTGCGCCACTGCACTCTACCCTGGTGACAGAGCGAGACTCCATCTCAGAAAAAAAAGAAAAGAAAAATGTTTTTGAAATCATGGAAGAATTTTAATTTTCCTCATTGATATTCTTGAACCATGCTTCATTTCCAAATATACACAATAACAAAGCCATACTTACATCTAACATGATACAACTATCCTGTATGCAACCGAAAACACCAGCCCTTCCCCAGGAGAAACGCAAAACCCTTGGATAATGTTCGCTCTTCTCTTTTGATATCCTGTAACTTAAATGCCATAATAAAAAGTTAACTATTATTTTCTTATTTTGAGACAGGGTCTCACTGTATCACTCAGGCTGGAGTGCCAGTGGTGTGATCTTGGCTTCCTGTAGCCTCTACCTCCCAGGCTCAGGCGAGCCTCCCACCTCAGACTCCCTAGTAGCTGAGACTACAGGTGTACACCACCACTCCAGACTAATTTTTTTGCATTTTTTGTAGAGACAGGGTTTTGCTATGTTGCTCAGATTGGTCTCAAACCCTTGGCCTCAAGCAGTTACCTGCCTTGCCCTCCCAAAAGGCTGGGATTACAGGCGTGAGCCACCACACCCAGCCTACATTATTATTAATACATCTTATGTTAGATGATAAGGGAATAAGAGGGAAGAAAACAAAAATATTTGGCTGATCTATATATAAACATTCATGACGAAATAAGAAATAGTCATGGTTATTGCTGTCCTCATTTCTGCAACTGGTCATGGGGTTGGAGCTGGTCTTTATAATTCCTGTCTTCCACTGCCCTTTCCATATTTCCTTTTCGCTCAGCAAGCACGTCATCTGGTCATGGTTCTTTGCCTGGTGGGGTGACCCAAACCTTCGTTCCTGAAATTCCTGGACCATCAACAGTCCTGCCTGAATTGGGCGATTGTTTTTGTTTACTTTAGTCACAGGACGTGGTACCGATGCTCCTCCACTTACAACGAGGTTATGTCCTGATAAATCCATTTTTTTTTAAGACAGGGTCTCACTCTGTCACCCAGGTTGGAGGGCGGTGGTACAATCTCGGCTCAGTGCAGCCTGAACTTCCCAAGCTCAGGTGATCCTCCCACCTCAGCCTCCACACACTATCACACCCGGCTAATTTTTTTGTGTTTTCAGTAGAGACAAGGTTTCACCATGTTGCCCAGGCTGGTCTCGAATTCCTGGGTTCAAGTGATCTACCCGAGTGCGGAGATACAGCTGTGAGTCACTGCACCTGGCCCTGATAAATCCATCCTAAGTTGTAAATATCCAAAAATGAAAATGCATTTAATGCATCCAACCTATTGAACATCATAGCTTAGCCTTAAATGTGCTCAGAATACTTCTATTCGCCTACAGTTGGACAAAATCATCTA